CGCCGGGGCTCTCGTTCGGCGGGGCGGCTACCCTATACCAACCTGTCTGGTCAGCGTGGTGTAGTAGGCCAAAACCTTATTTCTAAGAAGATGTCTAGGTCCACGGCAGGGGACCACAGAATTTTCTATGTCTTGACTTCCTATGACGAAAAGAGTTAATGGTACAGCATTGACCTTTTTCAAGTTTTGTAAAAAAATATTTAATTAATTTTTGAAATGGTTTCTGATCACAGGTGTAAAAATAGATTTTGAGATACAACAAAAAGCTTTTTACGAAAACAGTCAAACTTACGTTATTTTTTTGTGAAGACTAGTTATATGTGTAGAATATTTGTAAGCAATTTAAACAAAAGTCCCAAAGCAAATGGCATCCGCGGTAGGCCAATTTTGAACGATATCGACTTAATGGAAGCTAATTACATTAAGAACGTTAGTTGGATTATTCCTTAGAGAACTATGAGTATGATCCTTTTTTTTGCTGACGGGATGGAAAACCACCCTGACAGCTAGCCTTAGGCGCCCTACTCTAGGGAGGACCAATGCCATGTGATTTCAGGTCCCTCCCAGATCGACGCAGCACCTAATTAGGCCCTATCCCAGAGGAAGCCAGAGGTTTCCCCCTTTTTTTGTCTGTGCGGAAGTCCTTTCGGATACCACTCACTGGTGGTTATGTCGGACATGAAATTCTTGGAAACCCGACGGACCCCGGGCCATTTACGGCCTATAGATGACCTCCTCGTGTTTGGGAATCACGATGTTTCCATTCTACAACCTAAAGGGTGCGCGCGCTCCACAGCGTGTCGCGGCGCCAACCCGGTCTGCTTCTGCTGAGGTGACAGATGGCCTCACCTGTCACCCCTAGGCCTGCGCTTATGGACGATGGAGGTCGTTCTGCGATCTCTGATGGACCGGGAGAGTTCTAAATCTCTCGAGGTCCCGCTCCGCCGTCTTCTCCGCAAGCATAACTTGCTCGCAGATGGAGACGGCGGAATTAACATTTGCTCCTAAGCAACACCTGGGTATGGGCGGCGGATAGCCACATCGAAAAACGATGTGACGGTGATCCGATAAAGTGACCACCTCCTCCGCCACCCTCCATTCTGACACTTGGTAGATGATCGAGGGAGTCGCCGACGTAAGGTCGACAATCGACTCCCCCTGCCACCACAAGGTGGTGCTGACAGAATCCCGGTTCACAATGCCAAGGTTTAGTACCGTCGCCCATTCGATGAGTGTATCTCCTCTTACGTTGTCCAGGCGACCTCCCCACTGTGTGGAGCTTGCGTTGAAATCACCCAAGACGAAAGTACAAATGCAACTCCTAAGTCCGTTAAAGTAGGCCTCGCATTCGGGGAGGCTGTAATTCGGAGATGCCGTTATCCGTCCCAAACTACAGGTTAATCAGGACGTATGTTTTAAGGTTCCATTATTCTTGAGTTGAAATAATCCGCTTTTAACACAATCCTAGATAATTAATATAAACTAGTGCTAGTCTCAAAAAAAAAAACTCTATCTATGCTAACAATACACGTTTTTTCACACCATGCTGGGTTTGAAAAAAGTTCGAGTGCAAAGCATCTTAAAATGAGATTGTTATTTTCATATTTAGTATTTGTCTGTTTTTGTTCTAACAACAATAGAAGTACTCGTTCGTTATTACGGAGGGTAGGTATATTACATTACATTTTTGACAATTTATATTAGAACACCATAGATGTAGCGCACTTTTTACATAAAGCTCATGTATAATTGTTAATATCCTAACAAAAGCTGCTAGAAATCAGTATAGCACCCAGCCGCCTCTCATTCAAAATGAAAGTTCGAGCTCGCATTCTGGAAACCCTAGCAGATTCATTACAACCTTAAAGTTTTATATATTATTAATTTGTAGGTTATGTATGTACGTAACTAGGTAAGTATTTATTTATGTGTATGTATTTGGTACGTATATAGGTATGTATGTATATTTATCTCATTGTTTCTGTGCAATTGAAGCCATGTTTCTGCACAAATGGGCTGGCCCGGCTGAAGTGATACCACGGCCTCACAGAAAACCGGTGTTAAGCAGTTCTTTCGTAGCTTTTCACTGATTGAGTGAGGTTATCGGAGATCAAAATTCCCCTTTCCCTGATTATGATATAGATTGGGTTACAGGTGTCGGTGATTTACCATCAGATTCGTTTTCTCGCTTGACTCCCATGCTATAAAAAACCTTTTGCATTTGGTATTTATTAGACTTTCTTTTGATTCACGGCAAAAACATTTTTTGCGTTTTTGAAATAAGTAATTCCTTATCTCGGGAACAGTTCATAATGAAAGACGTATGAACGACGCCATGTCTTTTCTGTACCCTTAAAAACATTAATGGTATGCGGAATTTGATGATGGTCAATTGGTTAGCTAAGGCATTTAAATGTGACAAATAACCAAAAAATAAATCACATTCGCAATCATGGCCTTTGATACATGAGCTTTATGTAAAAAGTGCGCTACGTCTATTTATGACAGAACTTTAGAGGAAGGCGATAATCTGTGTTATGCTAAATTTACCACTATTACAAATGCCAATATTTGGAGGAATGTTTGGAACTCAATCATACCAGAACGGCCTGTACGAATCTGGATCTGTTAGTAAATGCAAGTTAGAAATAAATTAAAGGTTGTATTGAAAAAGCAACATTACGCGTAAGTAGTATTAAAAACCTGTGAAACACGCAAACATGAGTGTTGAGAGGAACGTAGGATATTGTTCGGGTTAGGTTAACTGATGACTTATGCCCAATATTGTGAACTCGTCTCATAAAATTCACGTTATCGAAATAAATAAAAACGTAGGCCTCGGCTTGGCACATCGTTATCACTATCAGTGTAGGCTGATAACAACGGTGCTAATGCGTTTACATATGGAAGCCATTAGCGCAACGCTTTGTTGCCACATTCGACATGTCAACTCACTGGACACGCGTAGTTTTTCCATAGCTTTCTCACGTAGAAATTATATTGCGTCATGTCGATATTCGTCGTCGTCGATAACTATGCTTAGGAACAAATGTTCTTGTTTTTTTTTTCGGAAAAACACGTGTATTTAACAAGGGATACAACATGTATTAACGCTGTGCACCATTAACATGTTTTCGCAGTTTAACATCTAAAAAGCTTGTCATGTTTTAACAGTAGGTACTAATAATTTAAACAAGCGTGCAATGATAATAAAGGCAAAATTAAAAAAATTGAAAAAACCAACGCCGCTTAAAACGCAATCGAAAAAGGATAAATAATTTAAAAAACCCCGAATTAGCCAGATTATGGAAGGAAAGATAGTAATCGTAAAAAGCTTTTTATAATAGAGTTGATCTCTCGCAAAGTCGGGCACTTCGTTACGTGCCTATTTGTTTCTTGACGATATACTTAGACGTGGCAAAAATAAGTAACATATTCAACTACTGCTGCCACTAAATGAACTAAAGTTTTGCAGCTTTATAGTAACGTGAATATATTTTTTGAAGATGTTTTACGACGACATAATGTAACACACGATATCTTCATTTTAGTTGACATTTTAAATAGGAATGGCAGTCCCCAACGAATATTATTTGGTTGTTTATTAAGTTCATAGGTAGTTGAATATGTTATTTATTATCAAAACCGCATCAAAATCGGACAAGTATTTTTGGAGATAAATGCAACATTGATTTGCACAAGAAAATGTTTACTGCAGCGCCCCCTAATGATTTACAACTGTAACACTCATCTAAGAACGAGCACCAATCAACCACGAACCCATTACTGAAAACCGCTTTAAAATCGAAGTAATAGTTTTGGAGATAAATGTCAACATTGGTTTGCACAAGCAAACAAACATCTCTCACCCTAAACACATATACCTTCTCCGTGCCGTCGTGGGTAAAAAGTAAAGATAAAAGGTAAATGAAAGGAGAAACTAAAGAGGTAAAAACCGACATGATAACAAAATAAGCAACAGTTATACAGTTTAGTCGTATTAGCCCGAGAACCATGCATCTGTTAATATCCTGTTAAATTGGTATAGTTTAGAGTTAAATAAATCAAATTGTGGAAAGCCAATCAATAATAGCCCGTAAATTTCTCTCGCAGCTCTGACAAATAATGAGTTCTACTTATAGTTTGATGAACATTGAGGAGCCTCATGATGTCTAGTCATCCTGTTTGGTACTTTAAGATTTATTTTAGATAATAAGGTAGGTGAATCGATAACGTTCTGAGAAATTTTGACAAGACAAGTGTCATCTAAAATCCTCCTTCTTTGATGCAGTGGTAAGATATGATTCTTCGACAACGCGCTTCGTAAGATGGATCGTAACTTTTAGACTTGTATTGCAAATGCGTCAAAAACCTAAGCTGGGTAGATTCCAGTCTCTCCATATAAACGTTGTATCGTGGATTCTACACTTGCGAGCAATACTCTAGGGTCTAGGCACTACGCACTAATGAGCAATACAGCACTTATAATACTTTTAATTTTTTTAAATGTGAACTCGTTCTGAGAACGAATCCCAATGCCCTATTAGCTTTTTAGCAACATAATCTATATGTTTTTCATATGTTAACGTCTCGGACCTTATCCACTTGCTGTAACTGATCAATTGATAACTTCCTTTTTGTTTTTTTCTGGCTTTGCGAGTGAAGGTAATAAAATGACATTTATTAACGTTTAGTCGAATTTATCAGCCAAGCAATAGTTTTCAAAGCTATCCAAGTCTTCTTGAAGTAGGAGTCAGTCATTTATAACGTTACTATTAAATAACTATTAAAAGTTTTAGTGATATCGTTACTACATGCGAGTAGGTATGAGTACATGTACAGTAAAATATGTCAATCACGTAAATAATTTGTTCCAAGTTGTAGATGAAACCATAACATTGACGTATCGTACACTATATACATCGTACATTCTTGTACATATCTCGAAACTATTATTATCAAAGGTATTACGCATATCGTGTGTGAAGAACACTTCGAGAATGCTTTTATTTATTTTTGCTTTTTTCAAAGTGTCTCTACTGAACGAAATGGTATTAACTAGAAGATCATTGTTGGACTGCCTCGGCTATGCTGTAATAGCGTATGGAGCGTATACGACTGCTGTGCTCAGGTCTCCGGTTGGATTCCCGGGTCTGACCAAATGTGTGTATGATCTGCAAATATTTGTTTCGGAGTATGGGTGTTTTCTATATATAATAAGTATGTATTTACCCAAAAAAAGTATATAAGTATTCTATCAGCCAATCTAGCTTACATAGTGCAAGCTGTGCTTAGTTTGAAACTAGATGGCGTTGTGTGTCAGATGTCCAAAATATTATTATTATTGTTTGTAGTTTTCGATGAATCCTTTGCTTTGAGTTCGTGGTATCACTCAACTCGAACCAACTCTTACGTACCGAAGGATCACTTTCTCACAATTACGCTATATTTACATTCACGCCAGATAAGCCGTGGGTGAAAATTTGTAATATTAATAAATTATAATAAATATAGATTTAAAAAAACACTCTTTTGTAACTAGTCGAACTAAAAAGTAGAAACTAATTTTTAATAAGATCTCGATTGTTGTAAAAATATGTTATTGACGTAATAAAAAATAAAATTTATTATATTATGAAATATCTTGAAAAGCACCCTACGCTTTTTTACGATAATACGTCTTTTCTTTTTTGAACTTATAGGAAAATATTTTCTACTTTGGAGCTTTTAGAATTTGGCTAGTTACAAAAGCTTGTTTTTGTTGTTTTTTTTTAAGCTAAAATTTATTTTTGCTTTTTCATTAAGGCTGTAAAAGTAACAAGTAAGTAAATCACATATGTACACACCTTAGTACGTGGCAAAAGACGCAACCGTATTTATAGGAATGGAAAAAGCCGTTAATCCTAAAGATCCTAATCATCATTGTCATCAGTCCTTGAGTGTGCGAAGTTTGAATTCAATCGACATTTTAAATATGGCGAAAATCACGTCCAAAGATTCCGTTACATACATACATACAGAGCTAATAAAAGTGTGTTAAATACCAACGCTATGTGACGATGGCTGCCGCTGTATTTATATTCAATATTGTTTGTTTATTTCAGTGTCAAACCTGTGGCAATGACAGCCAACCATGCGTTATCAATCACGTGCCTGTCGGTGATCGAGTACCCGGGGACGGCGCAAGTTCCTCAGCACCAGATGACCTGGTATGGCCTGACTGAAAATATTTTCGAGATGCTAATGAAACACATATATCAAGCTTCACTTACATCTTAGATCTAAGCTGGACCTTTCGTAAATGTAATGATTGGGGCAGATATCGAACGCTGCGTGTAGGCTTTAATGTACTAGTTAATACAGTAAATCTCATACAACTTAGTGCTTTGCAATAGTACTTTTCAACCACTTACGCTGTCCGCTGTCTGACCCAATTTTAATAGCAGATCACTAGTCTTCTAGATTTTTTGCTTTTAATGGTTTTATACAATTATATAAAGACTATTCTAGAATACACACAAAGAATTGAATTGCTCTAAAAGGGTTAAGTACTTTGATAAATGACTAATAGGTTGCCATGTGAATTAATCCCATTATGTCAAGGTGTTAGTTAAGAAAATCTATTAGAGTAACATAACTTTTTTCTATTCAGTGAAAAGAGGTTGGAAAACAATTTCTAATAGGAACAAGTCTGCACGGATGGCGTAGTGGTTTAAGAGGTCGCCACGCTGCTTCGTACCGCGCTGAGTGTCGTGGGTTCGATCCCCACATGGGACGACACTTTGTGTTATTCACCAATTGTTTTTCTGAGTCTGGGTGTTCTTTGTGTCCGTTTCATGTATGTTTGTAAAGTCCCCCGCGACACAGCATCATTTATCTAAAGTAATAGTAGTAAATAAGTGACTTATAAAAAAATTCACTGACTTCATTACCACTCTTCAGGGTTAAACTCTGACCAAATGTGAAATGTTTTCTCCTAAGTAAAGTAAAATACCGGATCGGTTCATAAGCTCTGTGGTAACAAAAAACAAAAACGTAACCGAATTGGAAACCATCTCTTTATTTAATTTTAATGCTTGTAAAATTTCTGATATACTTATATAACATGAAATATATAAGTTAAAGGGGCCTGTTAGTATAGTGGGTAGAAATCCTGTCTGTGGTCATGGGTTCAATTCCCATCCGCCAAGCGATAGCATTAGGCATAATATTAAAACTTTTTTTTTTGTTCGCAGCACCGGATCAGCGTCGACGGCACCTCCGCAAACTATTTTAACCCATTCTCGATAGAAGACCCTAGAACCAATATAATCGGTATTTCTGTTTTCTTATTTCCTATTTAAATAGTCTTAAATTTGTAATAACACGAGTGTCTGACCCTTCTCTGAAATTTTTAGAATATCAAATGTTCAAACCATTCTGGAGCGTTCAATCCGTTCCAGTAAGTACTAGGACTCAGCGCCATCTGTTATCACTTGACAACAGATGGCGCTGAGTGCCAGTATAGGCAACAATATAAAGAAACTATTAAAAAACATTTTGCTAATTTAATAAATAACAAATCCCTGAAAATAAATCATAGTACCTTAGATGATTCATGAGACAAAATATGTCAATGGTTTACCATATTAATAAATAGATATAGAATAAATAGAATAGGTAATATTATAAATAGAAACTATGAGAAGGAAACTACGAAGCACTCTATTACTGAATAATCTATATTCGTCGTAAACTTAAAACCAGTTTGCATTTATTCAACAGCTACGACCAGCAATACTGTATGATTGGTCGTAGTATATCTACAATATCGTTACGTAGCGACGTAGCGCTGCTACGAAATAAACCACATGTCGTAGCCTTGCCGTAGAGCAGATTTTTATCACTTGATGTTTCATGACGATAGTATGATTTTGAAGTGGTGGCATTTAATGAAATGTCACATAATTTACTATTATTACATGGCTTGAATAGATAACATGCGGTAGGCCGGTACTATGGCGTACTTTGAGAGGCCCATGTCCAGGATTCGACTGCATTAGTTTGATTGAAGTGGTTGCCTAATATGCCTATGTTATGACGGAGTAAAACATTAAAAGATCATAGCATAAAAGTTCCATTATTCACTTGTAACGGCGTTGATTAGATAAGTTGAGTAATAAAGTATAGTGAAATGCGTTTATCCCACACAACTTGTTAAGTTTCGTCCGGCTCGATCAAGGTTATGCCACGGAGTCATCAACAACCAATAACAGTCCACTGCTGGACATAGGCCTCTCCTTAGAAAGGAGGTTTTGGCCTACTATACCACACTGGCCATACGGGTTGATATAGGATTTGTATCAAGTTTTCCTTCTCTTTGCAGTGCTTAGTCGGCCGACATCCACGGGATGAATAGGGGTGGTGACATTCCATATTCTTAATCTGTCATCACACGGACATTATATTTATATATTTTTTTCAACACGGACTCACCACAGACTCATATCAACAGCCTATACTAGTCCACTGCTGGACATGTGCCTCTCCTTAGAAAGGAGATTTTGGCCTACTATACCACGCTGGCCAGACGGGTTGGTATAGGGCCATAGGGTATAGGGCCGCAAACCCCGGAGGGGTGACGGTCTGAGGGGATTTCCACACGTTAAAAAAAAACAAAAAAAAAAAAAAGGGTTTGTTTCAAGCGCTTATCACCGCCTCATGCCGCCCTGAGTGTGGCCGCGGGTGGACGGAGTGGGTTTCCCCTCCACCCGCATTAGTTTGGCCAGCCGCGAGGGGGCGGCGTCCGCGTGTACCGGACGTCGCCTAAAGAGAGGAAAATTTTGAGACGGAGCCCGCAACAGGAGCGGGCCGGCGCTAGGAGGGGTCCGGATGTCTTAATAACAGCTGTTCCCGGATCCCTCCTATTACAGGCGCAGAGTGGCACACCGTGTGGTTTTAGTCGGTCCGAGTCTGACACACCACCCCGCCGCAAACCTCGGTGGGGTGACGGTCCGAGGGGATTTCCACGCGTTAAAAAAAAAAAAAAAAGGGTTTGTTTCAAGTTTTCCTTCTCTTTGCAGTGCTGTTGTCCTGCTTAGTTTGCTCCCTTAGTCAGCTCTTACGACACCCACGGGATGAATTGGGGTGGTGACATTTATATTCTTAATCCGTCACCACACGGACACCACACCACAGACTCGCCGGTGTTAAATTAACTAATTTCAGTTAAGTAACCGGAGTAAGTTACCGGAAGCACAACTACGTTAAATTACAATAAGCTGTGTTCTGCATCCCTTAATTCTTGGGGTTTTCTTTTATTTACATAAAACAAACCATGCAGTACAACTGCGATAGGCTGATGATGATGATGATGATGAAATAAACAAAAGCATATTGAAATTTTGGAAACAGGTAACCGATTGAGTGAGCTACTTCGTACATAGGAATGGGATTATAACTTTACGATCTCTCTGTTATAAGCCCTTGGCCTAAGATATCATACCACTGTGTTCTATTTTGAAACACCTTTTTTTTTTCGTGCGGAAATCCCCTCGGATACCAGCGACTTGTCTGTCTCTCTCTGAGTCTTCTAAGACTTGTAGATAATGCTTTGTGTGAAGCCGTCTCATGTAATGTTCAAGCAGGAAGTGTTAAATAATAAATTAAAAAAATACCATTATGTATGTAATAGGATACTTAATATCCTATTTTTACGTAAAAGTTCAATTTGACTGCACGGCCTAAATGGTCACCACGCGCGCCGCTTACTACTGCGTTGAGTGTTGTGGGTTCGATCCCTATATAGTACAACACTTTGTGTGATGCACAAATTGTTGTTCTGAGTCGGGTGTTCTTTGTATCTATTTAATGTATGTTTGTAAAGTCCCCCCGTAACACATGATATATTCTTAATGTGGGAGTTTTCCTTTTGAATAAAAAAATAAATATAAAATATTATTTGGCAGAGGAAACAGAGGGAATGCTGCGAGCACCGAGGTACTACAGAGGAATATATTGTCCATCTATCACTAATACGTTTAAGGTAAGGTTTTACTTTTCTAAATATAAACCTATATATACGTATGTATTACAGATAGTTCGATTGCATTTAATAGATTTACATTCAGTTTGAGACCATCTTCTGACAGCTATGAGTTTGAAGAAAGGTAAAATTATAACGTCAAACTGTCTGATAATACATTGTGTTAGTTTGTCTTTTTTTAGTCCTAAATAATTCTGTATAGTTTCCTTGTTGTATTAAAAAATATGTCTACTTGTATACCTAAACCTCTTGGTAGGTTTACTTTTTTACTTGTAGACCACAACAAAATGTTAAACGGTTTCGTTAAAATTTTTATTAACACAAAAATACATAAAGATTTCTCAGATTAATTAGTGTTTAAAGAAGAATAATGATACTGACTGACTTTTTAAGTAAAAAAAAATAATTGTTTTTGTTGCAGAACCAAGGAGTAGAGATATCATACCAGAGATATTCACAGAGACAGCGACAGAAGTCACTGATTATCGTCAACGTGGTCGACTTAGCACTTAAAGTATGTCATTAGATTTATTTCATCGCTAACTAACAGTAACTAATAACTAACCTAGAACTGAGATTATTAAAACATATTACATGTATTGATACCTTTGTAAGTTCACTCAAGTCACATGAAAATACGTCACTCCTATCGCTACAGCCGCTTCATACGAATTCTAAATTAATAAATTTAGAATTCGTATGAAGCGGGTGTGAGCGTTATTTATCACGTAAATTGGTCCTAGCATCGGGCACAGAAATCAAAAATTAAATCAAATAATTACTTTATTATTTTTTTCACATTTAAATGTAGATATTTTATTATTAAGAGCCGACAATTCTTTTATTCTTTGTGTATGGTGTCTATTGTAGCAGAAAAAAACAGCTAAATAATATAGTGATTTAAAACAATTTGTTATCAAATTTCAGGTATGTCTGGCGATAATTTACTCCGTCACAAACACAAATAGTAAGTAAACTTCTCCTAACCGACCGCCGAACCGGGATTTATTCACAAAACCCTACAATTGCGAGTTGAAGCTACATGGGGTCTCGTTCTTAAAAAAATGTATTCTTGTTTAGCTTCTCCTTTGAGAATATAAAAACATTACAAACTTATTATTAATTTGAATAACAGAACCATGTCGACATGCTTACTACATATGTTTATGTTTAAATATCAAATTTCTTTATACTTATATGCTTATCACCAGCAAGTCCCCCATTGTACCAAATCGTGTGGACGACAGCATTCTCAATGTTGAACGTAGGAGTGTGCCTGCTGGGGTGGTGGCGCTGCTTCGCTAACAACTATCTACACTGGGCGGCCGCAGCCACCTGGATTCTGCTCATCGCTCAAGGTATCATTTTACCAGGTGTGTGTTATTGTGAATGTATTCTTTTCTTTTCGCTATTGCTATGAGAAAACTCAAATTAAGACTGAGCTGATTTCGTCTTCAATGCAACGCTATCAGGTAATTGCTTTTTTTCGAATGGTCTTGCAAGCTTTTATATTTTTATTTCTTTTTAATACTGTTTTACTTTATGTTTATCTGTGGGAACACGCTTAGGATTAAGTTTTTTGTTTATCTAAATTGAGGCGACTAAAACTACGGAATATAGACACGGATACTTACCGGCAAAGTTGCCGGTAAGTATCCGTAAAAGTTATGACTTCTAGTCATAACTTTTTATTTTACTCAACAATTTAAAAATTGAAAGCGTATATTACATATCAACTTCTTAAGTACCTTTTTTTATTTTTTTTTTAACTCCGGGAATGCTTTTCACACCATACCCTTCGTTGGGGAAACGCAGGGCATGTGTATAACCGGAGAACCGGTTTACCCACTACACCCTGGAAACGTAAACTGTATTGTAACTTTTATGACATAGTATAAATGTATAATAGGCCGGTAACCTTATCTTATTTTCTACTTCAGAGCAATCGTATTTACTGTAACATCTAGCATATCACAGAAAAACAATTCACTTTGCTAATCTCATGTTCCAGCTCTAAGCGGCCAGGGGTTGGGGTTTCAAGAGCCTCAGAATCAGGTATGGTACATGCTGTTCATCGTGTTCGTGCCGTACGCGATGTTCCCGTTGTCTTTATGCTGGTGCATCACCATCGGGATGCTGTCCTTCATCTCCCATGTGCTAATCACCGCCGTCGATATTCAGAGATACATGAACGATACCAGAAAAGTCGTTTTTTGTACAATCGATGTAAGTTCTGATTTAGTTTATGCATATATCTACATAAAAAAAAGGCCAAAACCTCCTTTCTAAGGAGAGGCTTATGTCCAGCAGTGGACTATTAAAGGCTGTTGATGATGATGATGATGATATATCTATAATCCGTAAATAAAATGTGGTGACAGACAACCTCAACAATGTTTAACAGTAGTAGTTTAAGTTTGTGGTTTACAATGCGCTAAGTGTTGTGTTGTGAAGTCGATCCCTAAATTCGCCATAGCATGCGTCGCAATGCAATCTGCAAATTGTTGTTCTGAGTTTGAGTGTTCTTTGTGTCCGTTTCATGAATATTTGTAAAGTCTCCCGCGACACCGGATATATTTCTTGTGTGGAAATTGTCATTAAATAAAAAAAAATTATAGTGCCTCTCATACAATCTAAAATAGTTCGAGTTCGAGATTAGTAAACAAAAGATGTACAATTCCAATATAACATCTACCATTATGTGTCTAAGACAATAAGTTATCGTTTACAAGCCTATGGTTCCCTTCCCTCGACTTCCCTTGCCTTAAACTAGATGGCATTCGGTCTATCTCTCAAGAAAAAAACTGGTTAAACCCTATGTTCTTTTTTGAACCATTGAATTAAAAGTGTATGTGTGTTTATGGAATATACATGCGGTCGAGCAGACCCATACGGCCCGTATCGGTCTGCTTGACAGCAGTGTTGCGGGAATGCTGACGCAACGTTTTGAGTTATCGGTACTGTAGTGCGCTGTGAACGAGTTGTCCCGTGGTCGTCTTGTATACCGTACTACAGCACACCCATATATATTGTATACAGTCGTAATTAATAAATTTAAATAAGTTGTTCATAGACTTATTATTTCTCTCTGTACACATACGCAACCCCAGTAATAAAGGAACAAAGTAACGACCAGTTACAAAAGTGGTGACCCCGACTGAACTGTGATTTGGTAATTTAAAAGAACTTTTGCGATATTGTGTACAGATTGAGACTGTTTAGAACGGGCAACTCACTTGTGCTGTAGTGTTGTTTTTTAATATCGGTACTTATACGAGTCGTGATTACGTTAAACATGCCTACCGAAGAAAGAAAAATAGCCACCGAAGAGTATCATTTATCCACTATCTCCGTCACGGCAAGAATACCTGAGTTTTGGAAGAAGTCGCCGAAAACCTGGTTTATTCAGGTAGAAGCAGTACTACAACCGCAGAAGATGTCTGATGAAGCGAAATATCAAGTCGTTATATCGAAATTAGGCCAAGAAGTTATAGAGCAGATCACAGAAATTTTATTAAATCCGCCAGAAAAAAATAAGTATGAAAATTTGAAACAAAAATTAATATTGATTTACCAGGAGTCGGAAGAACGACAAGTAAAGAAACTAATAGGCGAAATGGAGTTAGGAGACCAGAAACCATCGCAGTTATTGAGAAAAATGCAGGACCTAGCTCGCAATAGAGTCACCAACGAGACACTAGTGGTGATGTGGCAAAATCACCTACCACCATCAGTCAGAGGAGTATTGGCTGTGACAAATGAAGATGATTTAGAAAAATTAGCAACTATCGCGGATAAGGTAATGGAGACCGCGACGCCAATACCCAGTATCGCTGCGGTGGAAGGAAAATCGCTGACCTTGAATAAAGACGATTTGGTAATAGCCCACCTTGATAAAATAAGCGAAAGACTTGAAAAATTAGAAACTAGATCAAGAAGGCACTGGCAGAAAAGTAACAGAAGGCGTTACGGATCAAGATCGCGATCGTCATCAGAGTCAAGGACGCGTGGGAAGACACCTGAAGATCCCAATTGGTTGTGTTACTATCATTATCGATACAAGAATCGGGCAAATAAGTGCGTCCAGCCGTGCAACTGGAAGAAAGATGTCAAGCCGTCGGAAAACTAACGTCGGTGCAGCCGACGACGGGAGGCTGTGGCCGCGTAGATTCTAACAACCGTCTTTGTGTGATGGACAGGAAAACAGGTTTAACTTTCTTAGTGGATAGCGGTGCTAATGTGTCTGTGCTACCCCGCAGCATAGCACATATTAAAGGTAATAAAAATAATGTACGTTATAAATTGTATGCCGCGAATGGAACCGAGATTAATACATATGGTACGCATTGTTTAGAGTTAGATCTTAACCTTAGAAGAGCTTTCCGTTGGTTATTTATATTAGCGGACGTACAGCAACCAATATTAGGTGCTGACTTCTTAGCTAAGCATAAGCTGTTAATTGATTTGAACGGACGAAGATTAATCGATCAGTTAACTAATTTAAGCATTAGAGGTACCATTTCGAGTTCAACTGAGTCCACTGTAAAGACAATTGTTGATAATTGCCCTTATTATGATTTATTATGTAAGTTTCCCGAGTTAACTATGCCTGTTTCATATAAGGAGACACCTAAACATGGCGTTTGTCATCACATAGAGACCACAGGACCACCAGTGCACGTGAAAAGTAGGCAGCTACCACCAGACAGGTATGTTAAAGCTAAAAATGAATTTAAAGTTATGCAAGAGCTTGGGATTTGTAGGCCGAGTAATAGCGCTTGGGCAAGTCCTTTACATATCGTGCCAAAGAAGGATGGAAATATTAGACCTTGCGGTGATTATAGACGTTTAAATTCGATTACTAAACCGGATCGTTATCCAGTTCCCCGTCTTCACGATTTTATGTATAATTTGTCGAATAAGAAAATATTTACGAAGTTAGATATAAATAGAGCATATAATTGTATACCCGTAGCCGAAAATGACATTGAGAAAACGGCTGTCATAACACCTTTTGGGTTATTTGAATTTATGCGAATGCCTTTCGGATTGCGTAATGCAGCGCAAACTTTTCAGCGCTTTATGCACCACACCGTCTTACAAGGTTTAGATTTTTTATTTAATTATTTGGATGACGTAATAATTGCCTCAGATAATGAAACCGAGCATAAACAGCATTTACTTAAAGTTTTTGAAAGATTTAACGAGTATGGGATAACAATTAATTTCGCTAAATGTAGTTTCGGAAAGACAAAATTAGATTTTTTAGGTTACGAAGTCACAACTGAAGGAATTATACCTTTAACGGATAAGGTTAAAGCTATTATTGATTTTCCAAAACCTAACACTATTGAGGAACTAAGAAGATTTATGGGTATGTTAAATTTTTATAGAGCACACATACCGCATTCGGCAGCCCACCAATTACATTTATATAAGTATTTAAGTTCTTCTAAACGTAAAGATAAAAGTAAAATTAATTGGACAATAGAGGCCGAACAAAATTTTGAACAATGTAAGGAAGATCTTAAAAATGCTGCATTGTTAGGTTATCCATCTATAGACACACCGTTCTCATTAATGACAGATGCGTCAGACAATTGCGTAGGTGCAGTATTACAACAAAAAATTGCTGACAAATGGAAACCTTTAGGTTATTTTTCTAAAAAGTTAACAGAAGTGCAAAAGAAATATAGCACGTATGATAGAGAACTTTTAGCAATTTATTTAGCCATAATTCATTTTCGTTATTTAATCGAAGGTCAAAATTTAATTATTTATACTGATCATAAGCCTTTATCTTTTGCATTTACGAAATCAGGTACAAATAGAGAAACATCAAGGCGGGCCAGGCAAATCATGTTTATTAGTGAATTTAGTTCTGATATAAGGCATATTAGTGGTCAAAATAATATTGTAGCGGACACATTATCTAGAATTGAAACAATAACAAGTCCCACGATTATCGACTTCGCAGAACTGGCAGTTGCGCAGGAAGTCGACGAACAGCTTGCAAAAATTCTTAGTGAATCGGATAACAACTGTAAGTTGATATTTAAGCGTGTAACTTTAAATGTACCCAATAAGCATGTTGTTTGCGAAACATCTACTAATAACATACGTCCTTATTTACCGGAACAATTTAGGCGTTTAGCTTTTGATTCGATACATAACTTGAGCCATCCAGGCATTAGAGCTAGTAGAAAAATAATAGCAGATAGATATTTTTGGCCAAATATGAATAGAGACATCGGTAATTGGGCCAAAACATGTATAAATTGTCAACGAGCGAAAATACAGAAGCATACAGTATCTAATTTAGGACAATTTGAGATTACTAAACGTTTTGAGCATATACATATAGATTTAATAGGTCCTTTGCCAATCACAACTGAAGGATATAGGTATTGTTTAACCATAGTGGATAGATTTACACGTTGGCCAGAAGCTTTTCCTATAAAGGAAATGACTGCAGAAGTAGTCGCAAAGACGTTATACGAGGGTTGGATTAGTCGTTTTGGTTGTCCAGTTAAACTTACAAGCGATCAAGGTCGACAATTTGAAAGTAACTTATTTAGACAACTAATGTTATTAATGGGAATTAAAAAGTCAAGAACCACCCCGTATCATCCTCAGTGCAATGGAACAGTAGAACGTTGGCATAGATCGTTGAAAACTGCAATTACAGCTCGTTTAAGCAATAAGTCTTGGGTAGATGAACTGGCAACTGTAATGTTAGGATTACGCACGACAATTAGGTTAGATACAGGCGTAACCGCTGCACAAATGTTGTATGGTAATAATATTAGATTACCTGGTGATTTTTATGATGGAAGCAATGTGAAATCGTGTGATGATAATGATTACGTTAGCAAGTTAAAAGAAGTTATTGACGAATATAAACCGTCTAGTAGAGAAAATAGATCATCACGTAAAATTTTTGTGCATAAAGATTTGTATACGTGCGATTATGTTTTTGTTCGAAATGACGCAGTAAGGAAACCGTTACAACCTCCTTACGACGGACCATATCGCGTCATTAATAGAACTGATAAAGTTTTTTGTGTACAATTGCCAGACAGACAACTTAGAGTTTCTATAGACCGTCTTAAACCTGCATTTATGTTAGCAGAGGATAATGTACAACCGGAAGTAGTAGATAATAGTGGTAAAACTGTCTGTCAAAAAGTTCAGAAAAAAGTAACTTTTCAAACAGCCGAACCCAGTAGCTTTGGTTATACTACGAGAACAGGACGAGTCAGCAAAAAGCCAATGAAGTATTTGTAACAATTAATTTTGCTGATTAGACAATAATTTAACTAGGACATTTGGTTATATAATTACGTGTTAATATGAAATAAATTCATTTAGTGTTTGATACCTGTACGTCGTAGTTGATTAATTAGGAAATGGGCAACTTACAGACAAAGGACAAAGTTGTTGTTAACGAAAATATATCCAGCACAGCTCAAGTAGATAACAAGTTGAATATGATTGGTATCATTATGATAATTATTATAGTACTACTGATTATAGTGATTGGATATGCATTAAAACGAAAATGTGCTAAAGGCGTCAGGAAATGGTTGAAGAAAGAAATGGTTGCTAGTTCTATAACCTTACCAAATATTAAGGTAGAAACTATGCAACCGCCGCAAATTAATAATGGAACGTCTGCACCTCATAAAGTGGTTTACTGATTATTGATCGAGAAATCTTCGTGCATTCATGTTATTAAGTGTGTATGTGATTGAAATTATTTTGTAACGATTTAATAGTGTGTGTTATATTTTGCTATTCGGTCATAGAACAAGCTGCATGGTTTGTGTTGTTGGTGTCCGGCCACAACGATGTCAAGAAAGGATAACAAAATGTAACCCAAACATATTATATTATATGCGTAATATAAGAATAAATAATTGTGTTAAAGTCATGGTAAATTAATATTTAAGTACGCTGCTGATATCTAAATTTTAAATAGCGTGATAATAAATGTTAAAACTTTTGTCGCTATTACAATGTTGGAATGTATTCACAGGCTTATCGCATAACAATACATAGCATAGTACTCATATTAAGTTGCAAACTGTTGATTGAGCAGAAAGATGATGTCACCTTTGGTGACAAAGTAAATTCACAAGAAATATTGTTTGATAAATATACTGATTAGAATTAAGATTTTGTGTTGTAAAAAAAAATATAAATATTTTTTTTAAAAAAAAGAGGGAAATAGTGTTGCGGGAATGCTGACGCAACGTTTTGAGTTATCGGTACTGTAGTGCGCTGTGAACGAGTTGTCCCGTGGTCGTCTTGTATACCGTACTACAGCACACCCATATATATTGTATACAGTCGTAATTAATAAATTTAAATAAGTTGTTCATAGACTTATTATTTCTCTCTGTACACATACGCAACCCCAGTAATAAAGGAACAAAGTAACGACCAGTTACAAAAGCAGTAATACAACGAAAACTCATAGAAAACCGGTGTTAAGCAATTCTTTTACGCGTTACTTCTTCCCCTTCTCCCCCCATGGCTCATGAATTCGGGGTGTTGCCTCAAAGGCGGCAACACGCTTGTCACTTGTCGATAGTCAATTACCATCAGATGACCTGTCTGCTGGTTTGCCTCCTATACTATAAAAAATATTTATTGCTATCAGTAAAATCAATTACATCTTTTTTCCAGTCAAACATTTGTACTCTACGCGTGATAGCGGGCAACGTGTTGTTATATTTGGCTGTGAACTTTGCGGGGCTGTACGCAAAATCACTAACTGACTGGAGTCAGAGGAAGGAATTTTACGAAATACGTCGTTCTATGGTCACAAGAGAACGCGTCAAGAGGGAGAGCAGTCGTCAATGGAAACTGTTTCGAAGCGGTAAGACCTATCTCTTATTTTTGTTTTAATGTAAGCTTGTTATTAATATTAAGAACGCAAAATAAAACTTAAGAAAGATAAAAGCATGATCTGTATAATCCAGAAGGACGCTGAAGAGTTAACACTACATATGGGGATTTAACAGTGGTATTAACGCAGGGCCTGTTTAGCAAGCTCCAATCAATTCAACGAAAATAAATTATTTAACACTTCCACTGGCAGTGTTAAATTTCATTTTCAATTGGTCTTAAGCATTTAGAGCAATCAAAACGTTTTCTTTTCGACTTCAATTTATTATATTTTTACGCATGTGACTTGTTATAGATAACGTGAAAATAACAAGGGTGATTATCTTACAGTGATACCAGACTTCATAGCTAATGAGATATACAGCCACGTGAACAAAGTGAAGGGTGATTTACATGAGCAGCAGTTCAACAACCTCTACATACAGCGGCACAAAGACGTCTCTATACTTTACGCTGACATCAAAGGATTCACTGGTGAGCATACACATTATCGTAGTGGTTTAAGCGGTCGCCACGCCGCTCACTACTACGCTGAGTGTTGTGGGTCCGATCCCCACATGGGACGACGCTTTGTGTGATTTACAAATTGTTGGTCTGAGTCTGAGTGTTCTTTGTGTCCGTTTCATATATGTTTGTAAAGTCCGCCGCGACACAGGATTTATTCCTAGTCCGGGAGCTGTCTTTTAAAAAAAGTAAACAAAAAAAATATATATTCTAATACTTATTCTAAGGGCTTAGTGTGAGTTTATTTTACATAAACTCGCTGTCAAGGGCAACCGCGTTCGGAGTTGCGATTGGTGCGGAGTTCAGTGCGGGCCAATCGCGAACGTGGTCACCGTGACAATAAACTTGCACCTGGATCCGAGATATCCATTCTGCGTTATTAGTCATATTTCACTGGTTATAGTTAATTTGAATCACATGTACTTCTTACTACTGAAAAGGTATATCGTTTGGAGTAAACAAGTGACATCTGAACACCTAACAGGAAATTTTTAGGCATTTATCCAACACGGGGCGGGGGTCGTCTACTCGTCTGTAGATGACCCGAGGTATGTCGGGGCACCAGGGCCTTCCTTTCTAGGGTATACCTGGTTCCCCGGCTATTAGTACCCGGCGAAGGCGTGCGGTTTTAGTCGGTTCGTGTCCGACATGCCACCCACAGGTGGTATCCGAGGGGATTTCCGCACGGAAAAAAAAAAAAAAAAAAAAAAGGCATTTATCCAATTTGTATAACACTTTAATTTATAGTTGAGTCCCTTTTTTTAATATTTAGGGTCACTGCTGATTCCTGTACCTAGATGACAGAGTTCTTTATATTACTGCGATTTTGATTCAATAAAATATCTTTACACAGTAGTAGTAGTTCATTTTTCTTGTACGATTAGATCTTTTAAACCACGCAAGGGCTTTTTTATGCGGTTTTTACCAATAGAGAGATTGATTCAAAAGACGGGTTCATATGTTTAATACGAGTACATTAATAAACTTACGCTTACATTGCAAACGGAGGCAAAACCTTACGAGATAGATCGGAATAAGGTACTACGGAATTTGCTTTACAGCATACTATTAAAGTAAGTATTAGTATATATTAGAGATTTATAATGCGGAAGCTGAGTGGGCCTGAAATGATTGCACATTAAGATGTCCTGTAGTTTTCATAATAATAGTACAATTATTATGATATAATTATTACTCCACACTGACACCACATTAGTAGTATTTTTAGTCTCTACATTGCTGTTAATTTTTGTTCTGAACACTTCATCAACAGCCTTTAATAGTCCACTGCTGGACATAAGCCTCTCCTTAGAAAGGAGGTTTTGGCCTACCACACACATACCATCAGCAAATGTGCTAATGTAACAATTCAGTTACTTTTTATTCGTTAAGTATGCAAACTTGGTAGTTGTTTGTTCACAAAATGCACATACTTTAGGTGTGCATGTTATGGGTATCGAATGTTCTATCATAAATCTCCCAATATGATTACAGTACATATGTGATGTACATTGGTCTATTACAGAGCTGTCAAGCAAATGTAGTGCGCAGGAGTTGGTGAAGTTGTTGAACGAATTGTTCGCTCGCTTCGACAGGTTGGCAGCGGTAAGAATTATCTATTGTACTTTATATTCCCGTTTATACAAGTTGTTTTTCTTTATTCACTATAAATATAATTTTGTTGGAAGTCTATTGAAGTATTGCGCTAGCCCTCGTTAATATTATTTCTAAACAAGAAACTAAGGTTTTTTTTTAGAATATTCCTTATATATAGTATATGGCCGCTTATATGACCTTTAACGTTAAGTGTTATGTCGGTAGGAGAACGACTGCCTCCGCATCAAGTTATTGGGCGACTGTTATTTTTGCGTGAGCGGTCTGCCTGAAAAGCGGGACGACCACGCGCTCTGCTGCGTAAACATGGGACTGCACATGATCCATGCTATTCGAGACGTCCGCTATAACACACAGGTTACACATACTTTTAGAACTTAACATAAATTGCACAGCGGCTGCTATTAATTCGAAAACGGAATAGCCAATAAGCGCCACAAATAAGCGCGCTCATATTTTTGGCATGTACAAAAGGTTTTAATCATCACTAACTAGTCACCACCATAATGCAACAAATAACACAGGTCAACAAAATTTTTACCCAGAAACCAAAGTATAGTTATTAGTATGTTTTTTTTTTCGCTGACATAGTAGTGAACAGGGTTTGCTTAGTTTAGAGGCTTGTAGTTCAGTTAAAGGTTTGCTTAGCTGAACTCGGGGTGGTCAGTATTTGATTGGTTTTGAGGCGAAAAAAAATATTAAGCAAACTCAACTGCATTTTAAAGCTGAAGACTTGAACTTTAAGATACCCCGTGTACTTTTCTAGGCATAATAAAATTTGAAGAGTTACATTAAATCAAAAATGGCGTTTTTTGCACTTTTAGGCTAGAATATCTCAAAAACCTGACGTGATAGAGCATTTCTGCGCCGGATTTGGATTCAGCGCACCAAAATCCTTTGGGAAAGAATACTTTAGTTTCTGGGACAGAAACTTTGACAAATTTTATTGGCCTGTGTAATGCCATACAGATCATAAGATGTCACACACATTTGAAATGCTGCAGAAGTTGTTGAGCCGCTGTCGATTCTTCGCAAGGGGATTGTCAGTTTATACAAAATTAAAATGATTAACGAAATATGTGATATACCATGGCTTATATCAAATAGTTTAACGATTGCCGTCAAGTAGTTGTGGACTTCTCGACAATCAAACATAATATTGTGAATGACTACTTCCTACAATTACGAGTCATTATGGCATAACAATGTAGTTGATACTTTATTGTTTCATTAATAGGTGGATTTAGATATGCGTATCGGCATCCACAGTGGGATAGTACTGTGCGGCGTCCTGGGATTCCTAAAGTGGCAGTTCGATCTCTGGTCCCATGACGTTACACTCGCCAACCATATGGAGAGCGGAGGTCTTCCCGGGTAGGTATACCATATAATTAAAATAAACTATTTCTCGTCCTTACTTAAATTATATTAATATAGGTAAGGATAAAATGTTTCTTTTGTTTAATTTAGAAATATCTATAAAGTGTATATAAATACTGTCTACTGACCATAATATATATATATGTAGTTATATCGTAGATTTCAGTTAGTTTTTGAGCTCATTACCCATTCAAATTCTAATTCGGTGCCCCAGGCATAATACTTTTAATCTATTTGACATCCCTGGCTCTAATACAAACCTGGGTCATTACGCCGCTGTGCCAAGACTTTATAGAATATATGTCAACATATAGTCAAATATGTGTATGTATGAGTTTATATATGTAGCGAACCGTTACATATACTTTCACTTATTACTTAATATATTAAGACGTAACATCTGTGCACCTACCTTACAAGATTTCTACACCACCCAATGGTTGACTGGAAGAGAATGCCCTGGGCATTAAGTCCGCCGATGTACAAAAGTGCATAAAGTTAAATAAATAAATAACATGTCAGCCAAAACGACCGATTTAGATATATGCCTAGGTTTGTCTATATATAAGAAATGCTTAGCAGCTTTAATGTAATGTAAGCCTCAACGTATTTTTTTTGTATTTTAATTTTGTAGTTTTTATATTTTAACCATTTAATGTAACTTAATTAAATTTTGAATTCTCACATCATCATCATCACATCAACAGCCTATGATAGTTAGAGGAGGTTAAAGGAGGTTTAGAATTCTATTTTTTGTTGTAATAAACAGTATGTCTTGTATACTTTACTTATTTATTTCTTATTTTACAAGCTATTGTCCGCGTTTTGGCTGGTTGCTTTTTTGTGAATAAGTGTGTATCCTAAATAACCTGTAGCTATTTTGAGTAGCTGGGATTAAAATAGCATTTCAACATTTAAATCATTGCAACATGACGCAGACGCGTGCACATATCGTCGGCAACATTGGACTGCCTCCAAGGGGCCTTCGAAGTGGAGCCGGGGGACGGTGGGTCGCGTGACTCCTTCCTGCGCGAACTAGATGTCACCACCTATCTAATCAAGAGTAATGCACAGCCTACTAAACTTAAAGCTAAAAACAGGTTCGTACTGCAGAACACCAATTAACCAAAAATACCTAGAGAACACAGCGGTCGGCTCGTAGCCAATTATCAAAAATGCAAACTGCAAATTCGAAAAATTGCCATTTCGAAATATCCGAGCGTGTTAGATTTTATACAGACTATTCAGCTTAATGTTCTTATCATGCTAGCCAAAAATCTGACGAAAAATTTGCAGGGTATTTTAAATCACTAATGTGTATGTAACTTACCCAATTTTCCTTATCTCACACGCTCGAGTATTTCTGACCATCAATTTTTTTTAACTAATCTGATGGTCTGCCCTAGACGCTTAGGTACTCAACTGGGTGTAAGGTATTCCTCCTATGTTACTCTGACACGCTCTAGTAAATCCCGAAATCCACTCTGGGGCTCTTCTACTATTATAGAAAAGAGAGAGGAAAGGTGTTAAACATTAAAAGTTAACTTGATACTTGACATAATTTTTCGATTTCCATTAGAGTCACCAACAAACAGAATTCGCTTATTAAACAACGCAAAGATATATACGTATTATATTTTAAACATAGATAAATATATTTCATTTTGCGTTTAGTAACGTAATATGTATGTTAACAGCTTACCAACACAAAAGTTGTGCGAGTCGACGACACCGCGACACCTCAGCATCGTGGAAGATGAAATGACCGCGGACTGGACGCCTGAGATGCCTTTCCAACATGTAATGCTAATATGAAATATACAACTAACAATAGAGATTACAGCAATATATCGAACTAAGAAACTAAAGTAATACTTCCAATGAACTATATGATAGTTTAAAGCATAAACTATTAGTTGAGAGAGCGAATCGCAGCGATTTCTTTCGACTAAAACTCAATGTTCTCAGCCTTGCTTAAACATTATTTCTTTAAATTAACTAGACAACTGTCCCTTAAACTGAGACCCTGGTTTTAAAAACTTATAGCACTTGTCTTTGGCATTCAATTTCAAAAAGAATTAAAAAAAACCGTTTAAAAGTTATGACCGTTTTAATTTTCAGATATTATCACTTTTGTTTCTCATAAAAGAAGGAAAAAAAATGTGTGAAGTTAAACACACACAATTTTTTTTTTAATAAAACCCACATAAGACAGTTTATTGTGTCAGAGATGTAAATATATCATGTCATTACGTAACGTTAACTTTCTGTTTTAAAGTTCCGTCTGTGGTAAGTTTTTGTAAAGTAGATCTTGGTTTTAATGGATAGAAAAAGTGTTGAAACGTTAATAGATTCTTATTAGAATCCGATTTATATTAACCTGATGATTTTGAAGTTAGTTAAATAGGGTAACCAGGAGCTGAGGAGTTTTTAAGCTTTTATTATTACAGTATTACGATGGGCCTGCGGGGGTAGTTCGGCCCCGTCGTTTGAAGAGTGACCAGCACTGCGAAGGGCTCGAGGATGAGCCCATGTCCGATATCGAGGTTAGCTCCTGTCCTGTCGACGCCGTCATCACTGTTTGTTTCTTTTTATTCTTTTTTCTTGTTATTTAACCAACATCTTTACCTATCCTTACTAAAACATATGTGTATAGCAGACTACAGAAATTTCTTAATTTACTCAGTTTTATCGTTACTATTTTTTGTTTCGCACTGTTCATCTCATAGTTTGCAATGCTTTTAGTGTTTTATTCAAATTATAGCTGATTATTTCACATCCTTAGAATACAAGTGACTTAACAGAATATATAGGTAAACAGCATGATAAAATAAAGTAACCGAAGTATAGGTTGCCCCTTTCTTACATATAATTGGCACTCTTTTTCCAAGAAAGTTTTAATTAGTCTTTTGAAGATCAATTTATAAGAAAATCAGAAAGCTTAGGAATTTTGAGTAAGGTCACTTTTATTCCAAGAACGATTTAAGGTACAAAAGTATACGTCTATTGCCACCGAATATGTCCATCTTTTATCGCAGGTGGTGGCACCTAGAACCTAATACGTAACTGTTTAAATTTAACCTTTTATGTTAGAAAACCTCTAGAGACTTCGTAACCTGTCATCTTTTCCTACCAACTTTTCTTTTTCCTGAGTTACTAATTCACTAACAATTTGTTAGCTCATACTGCGAGAGTTGATATAACGCCTGATGGACTCCATCTGAAAATGTATTTAATAATGAAACAAAAAAATCAATACCTATACTGCTATACAGACGGAGGTGTTATCAATTCTCGCAATAGAATAACGAAATTCTTCTGACAAAAATATCTGGTTTGATTTTAGGAAGATGATTTGATAAACCATTTGATCGAAGTGGACTCGAACCGCCGCATGAGAGAAGAACACATGCATTTATGGTCGCTTCGGTTCAAACAACCTTACTTAGAGGATAGATATGGACAGCTTGAAGAGAAGACCTTTAAGTCCAACATTATGTGTTGTTTTGTGCTATGGCTGTTTATAGTAGCTGTCCAGGTTGTATTAAATTACAAGTAAGTGACGTCATGTTTACATTACTTCTAGTTACACGAGTCAGCCCTTTTTTTTTTTTTTTTATTCCGTGCGGAAATCCCCTCGGATACCACCTGTCGGTGGCATGTCGGACTCGAACCGACTAAAACCGCACGCCGTGTCGGGTACTAATAGCCGGGGAACCAGGTATACCCTAGAAAGGAAGTCCCTGGTAACACGAGTCAGCCCCTGTTCATCTAGTGGATGTTGTAAAATTCTTGCAAACTTGCAGAACAAAAGCACTGTTAGTAGTGCGCAGTATTTTATAAACATAAAAAACCTGATTTATCGATATTTTCCGGTACATTTGTATGTGTATATTGACAATACGTTGAGGGTAGAAGTGGAACTGTCGTATTTGCTCCCTTTCTTCTTTATTTACCTAATTAATTGCGTTAAATGTTAAGCGTTACATGAAGTGTATAAAGTAAAGAAAACCATTTTTTTAGCTGCTGGAACGTTGTACTAGTTCACGTGGTGATGACTATTCCACTAACACTCACCTTTTTACTAGTGATGCTTGAAGAGTTCCCCGGAAAACTGCCACGTCTCTCCAAGATATCTAACTTCTTTTCCTCTACCAGGCGACGGAGGAACATCGTACTATGCTCCTATATCACAATCATTTCCTTTTCTAGGTAAGCAAATATGATCTTAATAATATTAGTGTTTATTGAAGCCCAAAATCGATCTAATTGGCGTGCAATGGGAGAGGCCTATGTCCAGCAGTGGACTGCGATAGGCTGATGATGAATATTAGTGTTGCTTAGGTTCTTTACAAAACCAACCGGTGAGGCATTCCAAGAGTAATTTAATAAAAGGTGAATTTGCCTAGGATCATGAAAATTATGGGACTAAATTCAGTCTCATAAATAGTACAAATGATTGCATTCACCTCCCACTTCTTAGAAAGACTTAACAGTGAATATTATCGAGAGAGAATATTATTATGAGATTATCGAATATTATCTTTGTAAGACAGAAAGACGTGCATAGACAAGTGGTATCACTTTAAAAAGATAATTCCCTTTTAGAAAAAAAACTGGTTTTCGTGGAAGGTTAAGTAAAATCATGTTGCCGCCACTACAAATTAAAAAAAAAAAGTAAAGGACATAGTGATTGAGTCCACGACCAGCCAATCACCTACTCGTCTGCTTTACATTTTTTTTTATCTGTGGATGAATCCAAGCTTTCATGTATAGCGGTTAGATAGAGATAAGAAGTACCATCTTTTATAATAAAAGGGTTTATCTAAAATAATTATTATCTAGTTTAATGTTGTTAAAATTAGAAGTTTCGCCTTACTTATGACGAGAGTGTTTGCCTACGATAGTGCTACTTAAATACAGTGTATTTGACGGGCACACTTTTATACACAAAGATAACCTTCTAAGGCGATCAGGTGTAGTGATTGGAAATGTAAAAAAGAGATCAGAATACCCTCTTACGTAGTCTATACTGTACATACCTAAACATAAAAGATAATTTATGTTTTTTTTTCATTCCAGCACATTGAAGTTATACGTATGTGACTTGTCATACATTAAGGATTGGAATAAAAATGAAACATGTAATAGTACAGAGGTATTGGCCAAGGAAAAATACGATCCAGGTTGGTATGATTATACCTATAGTAAAAAAAATATCTACGCCTTCGCTAGCTTTAATGTAAGGAGTTACGTACTAATGTGATGACGGATTAAGAATACCTAGTGTTCCATGGGTGTCTTAAGAGCCGACTAAGGGCAAGCTTTGCAGGACAACAGAACTCCAAAAAGAAGGAAAACGTGAAACAGACCTTACACCAACTCGTCTGGCCAGCGTGGTATAGTAGGCCAAAACCTCCTTTTTTAGGAAAGGCCTATGTCCAGCAGTGGACTATTAAAGGCTGTTGAAAAGGATGATGATAATGTAGGTAGGTATAGTCGGCAAACGAAATACTTGGTCAGTAGTACAAAGTACTTGTGATTTAATTGAACAAGAGAAATTAAAACTAACAACGCGAAATGGTTTTGCAACAATAATGATTTGCATATGCATGAATGAAGAAACGAAACCATTTCTAACCAGAAGGCCTACTGTTAGTTTATTACACTTTGCCCTCACTGAACTTTTCACCAATCACAACACCGAACGCGGTTACCGTAACGGTAAAGTTGAGGCCCTCAGGTATTTCATTTGCTGTGTGTAGGACGTACTTATGTAGGTTAAATCAAACTTCAATTAATTAAACCGTACAAACTCACATTCTCATTAAAAAAGTAACAGTGATGGTTAATAAGAATAATAGAACCCCCTTTCCTTCCATAAAATATTGTTCTATAAATATACCAATTTTTCCGAAGCTAAATTAAAAACATAAATTATGACTGCACGGATGGCGTAGTGGTTTAAGCGGTCGCGACGCCACTTACTCCTACGCTAAGTGCTGTGGGTCCAATCCCCAGATTTCAGTCTGGGTGTTCTTTGTGTCAGTTTTATGTATGTTTGCAAAGTCCCCCATGTAGTAAAGTCAAATAGTTGTCTTTTTTTTTTAAATAAAATAAAAATGTAAAATGAAGTTCAGCTTTGTGATTGATGAAGTTTAGTGCGGGCCAAGTGAAATAAACTAACACTAGGCCCTCTGATCGATAATGGTTTGGTTTCTTCATTCATACATTATGTTATGGTATAATTTACTAATTTGGGCATATGTACGAGCTCGTACATGATTTGATGACTCTACACTTTACAAAGTATATATAGAATAATACACGTTTTATAACGTGTGTGCAATATCGATCGCTGGACTAAACACACGACGCGTAGTAGTATAAAATCGCTGATTAGGTAAATCTGTAATACTTATCTCAGTGGGAATATCGACTGCACGGATGGCGTAGTGGTTGAAGCGGTCGCCACACCGCTTCCTACTACGCCGAGTGTTGTGGGTTCAAACCCCACATGGGACGACACTTTGTGTGATCCACAAATTGTTGTTCTGAGTCTGGGTGTTCTTTGTGTCCGTTTCATGTATGTTTGTAAAGTCCCCCGCGACACAGGATTTATTCCTAATGCGGGAGTTGCCTTTAAAAAAATGAAATGAAATGAAATGAATGAATAAATCGGGTTTTACGTTAACTACTACTAACTATAACACACTCTTATTTCATCTGAACATCACCTACAACGTCCAAACTTCCACTGCTCCAACAGCTATCTGATGTCACTGTACAGCATAAATAGAGATGTATAAGATGTTCCATGATATTAAATTTATTAACACTATCCAACCTCCAAATTAAAAAAAAAATTGGTACAGGAGAATGCTACCACCCCGAATACGTAGTGTTCACATGGGTGCTGTCTTTGGTTGCGCTGACATCGGTGCTCAAGCTGTACTATATGGTCAAGACAATGCTGGCTGTCGCTAAGGTGGTGATGTACTGCGTGTTGCTGAGAATTTTCTACAACTATGCCACTGTCAAGTTAGTATACAGATGTACATAAAATAAATAAATAAGTAGCCAAAGACAAAAAGTTCACTACTTTATTCTTCTCCCTTTTTATTTCGTAACTATTGACGCAATTTTGGGTTATGTACCAATAAAAATTACGATTTCTAATGAATTAAGGTTATCATCATCTCAACCGAAAGACGCATATGTATAGAGGAGGAGGCCTTCGTCCAGCCTAGGACGTATTTCGGCTAAGATTAATTAAGATTGTATTCGAAGTAATACTCGTGGTATACATTTATTCTATACCGATGCAAGATTCCGTACAAAAACACATTACCTCGTATTTTACATTTATTTTTTTGAAAAGGGAAACCTACTCGTACATCATGAACTCAAAAAGCAATAGTAAAAGTATTTACTTAATATATTTTTGGTTTTATTTGAGTTATATGACATAGGTACATTTTTGAATACAAAACGAAATAAAACGATGAGCGTTTATATGTGACGGTCTTTACTTGCCTTTGCTTGCTTGCTTTTATCGAGACAACTGCAATTTTACATGAATATTTATACTTAAAACGGTTCAGTGTGATTTTACATCTAAATGTAAGACTTGAATTTTTTAAATTACTAAGTGTCATTTTCGTGACGTCCAAAAGTGGTGGCAATCAGCCTAGACTTTTGATTTCGTCCTTTTTGAGTAGTACCCTCAAAAAGGACAAAGGACAAAAACATAAAGTTTGATTCAATTTAAAATCTAAAATCACGTATAAATCAACCTGGTTTTTATTATCGAGTTTTTTTTACTACATTTTATAGAAACCTAATCTACTTTAAATTAGTTCCAGTCATTTACCCGCCTACATACAAATGCTGATCCTCATGATAGTATTTCTCGTGGTGGTGGTGTACCACGCTCGGCTAGTGGAAGCCACGGCGAGACTGGACTTCGTGTGGAAGCAGCAAGCGGAAAACGACCGCAACGAGATGGAAGAGACCCAGAAGATAAACAGGCAGCTCCTCAAACATATACTACCGGACCACGTCGTAACACATTTCTTACGGAAAGATTGGTGTGTTGATGTAAGTCTTTTGCGACGTTAGAGATACTTCTTAAATCTTCTATTTATATGGACTTAATCTAAATCCTCTTCTAAGACATTTCAGGGGCATTTATGTTCTCATCTTGCAGTTCTAATATTGCCGTCCTGTTTATTATTTAGGTATTTCCTCACCACTGTATTGATCTATCTACATTAATATTTAATTATGCTCTCTCAATAGAAGCTGTATTCTCAATGGCGAGACGAAGTGGGGGTCATGTTTGCAGGCATCCCGAACTTCCACGAGTTCTACTTTGAAGAAAAAGCCGTCGACTGCATGCGGTTGCTCAATGAAATCATTTGTAATGTACCAATCAAATATCATTTTACAATCATATTATACTTTTACATAGTTTTGACTAATGGTTAGTGACTACCGCTGCCCAACGGCACCTGTCACTCAACAGACTCAAGTGCATCTGCGTTCTATTGGACTCCTCCCCACTCATATTATTTTGGACCTCCGGTGACAGTAAAGTAAGGAGAAGCTGGTCAATTAAAGTTCTCAAGAGCAGACATCACACTTACTTTTACCATCAGATGTTCAATATGAGATGCACCTATTTTACAGATGATTTTGACAAGCTGCTGATGCAGCAGCGATTTAAGAGTATAGAGAAGATTAAGACGATAGCGGCTACGTATATGGCAGCATCTGGACTCAATCCTAATCAGAACCAAGTAACTATGCCCTTTTATTATTTGAAGTAGGCACCCGCTCCGGCTTCGCACGAGTGCAATATTATTATAGCAAGTCTGGTGCTTCAGCGCCCCTCACCTTTACGCCGTAATTCTCGCACGACCCGGTGGCAGCGACAACGCAATAATTTTACCAGCTTATTGTTTCTCTTTATCTTCTGACCAATACCATCAATTAATATGCTGTCAAAGTAAACTTTATCTCCATGAACTTTTCATGTAGATTGAGCTATTTTTTTTTTATAAGAATTTGTAAAGTATACGTAAACCTGTATCCAAACTTATTCTTGAAACATTTTTTTTACTTTTAACATAAAACTATTTTTTTGAGTGAGCAATTAAACTTAGATATAAAGTGTTGTGGACTTTTTTGTAAAGCTAAAAATAATGAATGTTTTTGCTATAAATTTTATTCCTTTATTTCAAATCGTTCTGGCAGCGCACGCGATATATTATAGAATTTTTGTTGACCTTAATTACTTTTATTGTGATTAATTATTAAAAACATGTATTTATGAAAATAAAAATTAGTCTTTAGCACTCAGAGAAAATATACCTCTCTGACACTAAAAGATTTTGCAAAATCGCAAATTAACAAACTTTACCTCTTTGTACTTAATATTAGTATAAATAAAAACCTCTTGAAACTAAAACATTGAAGTCGAAGTATCGAAGCCCAAGCTAATGAGCTAAGTAGGTTATGTGCGATATGTGCGATGTACAAAATAAACATTTTAAAATATATAGATGCAAAAGTTACACATTTAAAAACGTTATTTTACTACCGACTACCTGCCAGACGCCAATCCACCTTATGGATGTAATAATTTCCAGACAGGATAAGGGAATAATGTAATTGGGAGTTACGAAATCAGATCAAACCAGGGAACTAGGGTTAGGGAAACCTGAGACCAAGGATGATACTGCAGTAACTAGAAGAGGCCGGGGTCTTACGTATCTACTTGTATATCCGTCATTGTCATAGCAGTTATTGCACTCAAATCCATAGTTACAGTGTCATATACTCGTAAACTATAAATCGTTTTCATACAAACTGTATGCATAAAGGAACTCTGAATGTATACATCAACATCTCCTTTTTTATCGACAGTCAGGCGAGGTCTGTGAGCACCTGTGCGCCTTAGTTGATTATGCGTTTGCGTTGAAAGAGGCGCTTGAAGACATCAACCAACACAGCTTCAACAAGTTCCGACTAAGAGTAGGTGAGCAATTCTTTTATAATACTCAGTATTCTTTATAATATATCTCAAAAACTGTGCAATATCGAATACGTAGTATGGATATTATTACTTATATATATTGTTTTCATTACTTTGACATCTCTGAAAAGACAAAATTATGACATCTCCACAAATTAAAAATAATAATTAGGATCTTACTAGAGAATGTGTTAAATGAGTAGAATAAAATAATGTTCTATGTGACTACTTTAAAGTTGTTGCAGACATATTCCTAACTGCATTATAGTAGCACACCCCTCGAGCTCGGTAAGGAAAAAAGTTTTGAAATATTCCTTTCCTCTATTCTCTGTTTACGGCATAAATATTTAACTGATGAAGACCCTCTGTTCGGGATACATGAAAAATACTATTTTGCAGGTATAAGCTGCGGTCCACTAGTGGGCGGGGTAATCGGCGCGCGCAAGCCTGTGTACGATATCTGGGGCAACACTGTCAACGAGGCCTCGAGAATGGAGACTACCGGCGCCATGGATAAAATACAAGTCACAAAATACACCAAGCAGGTAAGAACTACTGAGATGTAGACAGCATGAGTGTACACAGCTTCTGGTGCAAGCCCCCCCTGGGCAGCTGAATTCCTAACGCATCTATTGCACTTCAAGACGCCTTTCAACAGCAAGTCACTTTTTTAAGCAGTGTCATCAAATAAATAATAAATAAATAAAATAACTTTCTTTTGTAAAAAACACAGCATACACCTTACGTTGAAAGACCAAGAAACAAAGAAAACATTTTTAATTAAGTACATAGTTATTACATTTTTGAGACTTAAAACTATTGATATGTACTTACAAAACAAGGCGATGTCATAAATAACGTGGCGGGGCGGTGACTTGGTGATCATCTACCTTGTTGTTCAAATTGAGTAATTTACAAAATGCGTGTTATTGAAATCATACCCGGGATCGTATTAAGTGTTTAGTTAGGTATAAAACAATGTGACATTAGTTAGTGCTTATGGAAGACCAATATTGTAGCTGCTAGAGCGTTGTGGTTATACGCTGAGCCGGCGCGGCGAAGTTCAAGTGAAAGGCAAGGGCACTATGGAGACGTGGTGGGTGGTGGGAACTCGTGGCGCGCAGCCCTCCGAGGGCGCCTCCCGCCCCACTCCAGCGCCGCCACGCTCTCTCGCCTCCCTGGTCTACACCATGCTGCAGGCGCGCAAACGCATCAACACGCATCCGCTCGACGCTACCAATTTGCGTAAGTTACACTACACTACATCTACTTATTGCAGCTCGTAAAAACAATTATTTACATTGTAAACCTAACCACTTTATCTTTACTATTGTAAATCTTGTAAACTAAATACTCGTATTGTTATGTTGTCTAACATCACTCGGTATTAAACAGAGTTGAAGTTATCCCTGTATTACTTAGTTACGTTTAGTATGTAGATTAGACAAAATAAGGGTAACAAAATAAAATGACAGTAATCAAGTAACTGTTACTTAATATTAGTATAAACAAAAACCTCTTGAAATAAAAAAAATTGAAGTCGAAGTATCGAAGCCCAAGCTAATGAGCTAAATAAGTTTTGAGCGGTATTTGCGATGTACAAAATACACAATTTAAAATATATAGATACAAAAGGTACAGATTAAAAAAAAGTTATTTTACTTTACCCCTTTTATGGCTGAATTTCACTTTAATCATTCCACCGTAATAATTTCCAGTCAGGAAGAAGGTAATTGCGAGTTAGGATATCAGATCAAACCCGGGAGCTAGGGTAATGGAAACCTGAGACCAAGACTGATACTTCAGTAACTAGAAGATACAGTGACGATAATAACTTGATTACTGTCATTCAGTCCTTCCATTAGCAGTCTGTCCAAAATGTATGACAGTTTTGTTTGTATCAAGTCTGATCGGTGAACTAATTTAAAACACATGTGCGACAGCGCGGCGCGGCGGGAGCATGCGGCCGGGGCGCGCGGAGACTGCGCCCAGCGGCTCGCATCGGCACCGCTCTGAGATGCGACGGACGAGAAACACTAGGACGTCAGTATACTTCATATTATACATTATTTCTTTCAACTGTATAAGACTTTACCACGGTTTGAAGCGATTGTTAATATATGCAAAATCAATAACACTTTTAGCCTATTTTACATTCCTGGTTCTAATACAAACCTGGGTCATTACGCTGCTGTGCCAAGACTTTGTAGGCAATATAACACGTTAGCCAAAACGACTGAATTAGATATATGCCTATGTTTGTCTAAATATAAGAAATGCTTAACAGCTTTAATGTAATGTAAGCCTCAACGTTTTTTTTTTTATTATTATTTTTTGTTTTTTTTCGTATTTTTTAAATTTTTTCAAAAAAAAATTTTTAATTATATTTTTTTGTTACTTTTAAGAATTTAAACTTTTAACATCGCTTGTAACTTTGTTCACTTGGTTGATGGTATTAATTTTTTTTTACTGTGCTTGCTGTGGTCTCCTGTAAGTGAAGGAGTACACCGACTTTAAACCCATTCTGTTAATTACTGTTTTTTTTACTTGTGTATATCTTTCGTAGGTGATCCTAATAAATAAATAAATAAGTGAGATTTAGCTTTATGAATCTTCTGATCACTGGATTTGTGATTTTGTGATACTATTTTTAGTAGGCCTGCCACCACTCCGTAAACAACGTTTGATGAGGGACATTAAAGTGACAAGAGCTCCACTGGGTATTATTTTATCCTGAAATTTATTTGTATTGACAACGGTGTAGTAAGTAAGTACGATTCCGTGGAGGATCAAACGCTAAAACTTGCTAATGACAGTCAGTAAACGAAGGTTAATGGATAGGTATTTGGGCAGTAACATTAAATTAGTATATTCCTAGATACGAATATCACACTTGTGGTAATGTGCATACGTGTGTTCTAAGCCCTCGACTGAACTGTTGAGGAATTATTTCTTGAAATAAGATTGTGTATTTGTCATCTCTCTGTAGCTGTAGCTAAACATGTACGCTCAATCTTTCTAACTAAATCCAGTAAATAGTATTTTGTTAATTTGTAAATTTCCAATAACAAACCCCCTTATTTTTTCCTAGCCTTTATTAAATAAGAAACACACGTAATACGATTTGTACCTAGATGGTCTGAAGCGAGGTTAGCTGCGGAACCGATGGTCTGCTCGTCTGGCTTTAAAAAGTAACATAAATAACCTAAGGCTTCCTATGCGAAATTTATCAATCTTTCCGATAGGATAAATAACGAGATGGAGCTGGTGGAGAGGCGGCGCACGTCCCGCTCGATGATGGTCCGGCGCGTGGAGGCGAGCGCGTCGGCGGCGCCCGCGTCTCTGTCGGCGCCGCACACGCCCACCGGCGGGCACGCGCCGCACCCCCCGCACTCCCCGCACTCGCCCTACCCGCACCAACAACACCTGCCCCCTAAGGATAAGCATAAGAGCTTAGGTGACTACGTCCTGCTTTCATGGTTTGCAAAAAAAATGACAATAGTTGATACAGATTACTTTTTTTTAAATTATCGAGCGACAAAAAGTGGCAACTTATTTGAAAAAGCATCTCTCTATCATATCTAGTCCGTAGTAAAATATAGTTAAAATTTTGAAACAACATTACACGATTAACATTGAATCAATTTTTGAAACAAAGTTCCTTATGGGACTATGTGGATTTTAAGAGAATTTGATGAGGAATAAAATGAGACTAGTCTCGTTTATCTACTATCAATAGTTTTCCAAGTTTTCAATTTCTTTATTAATAAATTGCTCCTTATTTTCAAACAACTAACTGTGGTTCATTAGTAAATCAACTTCTTTCTGTTTAAATATCAAAAAAATATACGCAAATTATTATTTTTTGATAAATTTGTCAAATAGCATAAGGAACTTCATTCCTATCGGGTGGGTGTCCCACAACACTACACGGCTCTTTTATAATAATGAATCTAATTTCATTAGGACAATCTAAATATTATATAGTCATGTAAACCATAAGGCAACTAACCTACATAACTATCATTCGGTACATCGGTCGCTATCGGTATAAAACTACATGTTACCAAACTGATAAAACCGTAAATATATTAATAATATATTTATTAATAATAATAATACAGTTGAAACCAGCCTTGAGCTGAGAAAAATTAAGATTACAATAATAATATTGTCACCACCCCTATTTATCCCGTGGGTGTCGTAAGAGCCGACTAAGAGAAAAAACTACGCAGAACAACAGCACTGCAGAGAGAAGGAAAACTTGACACAAACCCTATACCAACCCGTCTGGCCAGCTTGGTATAGTAGGCCAAAACCTCCTTTCTAAGGAGAGGCTTATGTCCAGCAGTGGACTATTAAAGGTTGTTGATGTGATGTGATGTAATACTATTATTATTACTATATTTACAGTTTGATTACGATAAAACCGTAATAATAACATTATTAATATATTTAGGGTTTTATCAGTATGGTAACATGTTCACAAATCACACACACAGCCGTCTGATTTCAAACTAGGCAGAGCCTATGCTATAGTAACCAGACTGCTAAATTTATGATAGAGTAAATTATTGATTTCATATAAAATGATTTTTTATTATATCAGGTGCACGACTACAGGCAGCCAGCTTCTCATACCGTATGAGACCGCGAGAAAAGTCACCAAAGACCCAGGATCAGTCGAACGAAGGAACAATCTCGTCCATTGCGACGAACGGTACAACACCTTCGTTCCGCACACGGTCAAGTACTGCCGCGTCTTTCTTCAGAAAGAAGAAGAAACAAGAGATAATGGATAGCGAAGGAAAAGAAAACGGTGATGTTGTGACTACAAGAATGTAGTTGGCAGCAGGTACTTCTTAAAGATCGTAATTTTTAATTGTCAGTTTTAAATGGTAATTGCATCAGATTATTTTGGCGATCGAAATACTATTTTTCATATGCAAGAATTTAAGTCCATTAAAATAATATGCTATATCAAGTATTTATTAAATTAAATGCAGTAGAATAACGTCAGCCCACAGAACCGTGAATAAATACTGTTCTGTGCGTCAATCCAGGCAAACAAGTAAGAGGAATACGACGCCAATAAACTAGTATTTGAAATACGGTGAATGATAATTTGTCAACGAATCGTTTCGTTAACAACTCATTTTCACATTCATTCATTAAACAAAAACTGAGCACGAATTACTTAATGGATCAGTTAGTACAAGAAGTTGAAATGCACGAACTATTTTAGCTCTATCGTACGTACTTGATAGAAATACCTACTTACCTATTTAAAAATTACTTCAGTCAATACTCTAAACCTAATTTTCAAGGTAGAATCTTATAGAGGGTTAAGAAGATTTACCAGAACAGAAATTAACTACAATGTTCTATTTTTATCCGATGTCAAAAAAAGGAGTTCTTTACTTAAGCTGTACCTATGTTTTATTTTGTATTTAGAAATAAGAACTCTATAAACAAATACAACACTTACCTGCGACATCAAGAGTGTCGTTTTATGAAATTGTCACTTTGGTGAGGTCATATTTGTTATAACATCTTTTCTAAACTAAATGTACATGTAAAAGTTATGACAGTTAATCATTTTAACTATGTTATACTCCATTGACATAAGATATAATTATGTATACGTTTTATATAATTTTATTTATTCACGATAACAAACTTTGTTATTTTATATTAATACGAGAGCGCTAAGCGTGGTTGTAATGTAAATATTGTAAGATATTTCGTATTATCAGTCGCAACTGATGAACTCTCGGTTTGGGGACCAAGTGTACTTTGAATAGACATTTTTTTTTTTGAAATGTTAAAGAACAAATCAGGCGTCTTTCCGAGGAAGGTCAGACTGTGATTTATATATTTAAATACGGAACCAGTACATGGATTTATAACCATAACACCTAATGGATCTTTTTACTGACTACTTTAAAAAAAAAAAGACGTTTGTCTGTTCAAACATTTACAATGTTGTCTGACTTTTCTCTGTCAGTCGTAAGGGTTCATCAGTTTTGTCTGAGAGCTATGTTCTACGTATAACTTATAGTTGTAAGTGTCCGACAGCATTTTATGTAAGATAATTCAATGTGCCACTTTTATCCGTAGCTGAGAATGCCAAAGACTATTTTTGATCTCAGAAAGCATTTTACGTAAATACCTTCCTAAGTAAATTAAATAATTATAAGGGAATATGAGATCTGATACCTGCGTACTGCCTGTTTCAATAGATCAAGTAATGTTTTGACGGCATATTTTTATAATAATTATAGTTTTTACAAGTTTTACATCCTCATGACTAATAATATTTCACACTACAAGATAACTAATAACCTTAAACCCCTAAGATTCAATTAGATATTTTAAAAGACTTGGTGGAATTTAAAGAAACTTTTTAAATTTTTAAGAATAAAAAATAAAAGCGACAAGGATCTTTTCCCGCTAGACAACCATAGTAATATTACAAAACTATATACAAACTTATAAAGCGACCGCCTTAAAGAAATACGATGATCCGATACCATGTTGCCGAGGATCCGATCATGGGTATACGATCTAATCGATTTTCTGATTGAATTGAATTCATGCAATCGGAACGTAGGATCGATTCGACTCGCATCTGTTGTTGAATCGGATTTTAAACATTTTAATATGCTAACTATGTAAGTATTTTATTATTGGGCGGACAAAGTTAGATCTACAACAAATACAGTTGATCTTGTTAATATTCGCTGCCACGCGATTAAGTACTTGCGACGAATATAATGTTATGGCGTAGTCAATAAGAGTTAAAATTTGATATAATTGAAAAATAGCACGCGATAGAACGCGGCCACCACCAGGCACCCAAAATAAATTTCGCCTGGTTAGAACGCACCTGACCCACGCTTTAAAGTTACTTACTTCAAGAAATTATGAGTTGTCTATCAAAAACAAACGTTGTTCTTAATTGTATAAAACTGGAATTCTTGCAATTTGGCTCTTTCTCCATTGTTTAAAAATAAGTAAGAAGTAGAGTAGAAAACAGTTTACCTGGCAATCAATAAAATACATAGCGTGACATTCGCAGTTGTAGTCAAAGCCATAAGATCCTTGGTGCGCTTTTAAACATGAGAAACATTGCCATCAGTCATTAATGGATAACTCTAGCTTTTATATATAATATAGTGCAATTTTGTAACGTTAAAAATATGTATCTATCATTATCATCAGGTAATAATTATGTCAAAATTATTTTTATTACGAAATTAAAAGGTGTACAATAAGTTATAAATGTCTATATATGTGAAAGTAGTAGACAAACACCTCGTAAGAAACAGGCTCCTAATAAATAAAATATTATTACGTGTAGTACCTCAGTGTTGACAAGCCAAATTAATCGTAGGCTAAGATAAAAATCGTTAGATTTGCCTTTGGCACACAGCTGTTATATTAATCTCTTTTATTTCAAATTGTTTTTCTCATCACCACCAATGGACCCTTGCAACTCGGAGTCAGCAGTATGGTGCAAGGTTTTAAGATGGGAGTATGTTCTCTTCTTTTTGTGTTCCAACGATGTTAATGATGTTTTGTTCCTATTCAATGAGTCGAGGCACATCTAACGGTTTTAATCTTTGATTAAAAGATTTCTAAAACATTTTAAAAGGAATCTAAATAAAAGATCGAAATGAATTTGAATGTTTTATTTAAAAATATTTATGAACATATTATTAATTAAATAACATTTGACTTCACGATATTGTTGAAGTTTTAATAAAATAACTTATTATGACAAATTCCACTCTGCAATAATGTATTCACCAATGGTTTCTTTCTAGTGAGTTCAAATGTTATCGCACTTTTCCGTATAACACTATTTATAACATTACAATTAAAAGAGGAAAAGTCTAATTTACCTATTGTTCTATTTCTCACATGTATCATGTCAAAGAGAATACTGCAAAGTTCTATATATTTAATATTCTGTTCTATTTAATAATCTTATACCTTTTGGCAACTTATATAAATGTAAATAAATAATAAACTTTGGGAATCTTGCACGCATACCACTCATTATTGCATAATTTAATAACATATTTCGTTAAATGCTCAAGCAACACTTTGGAATACCCAACATCTTACACTTAAATGATAAAATCAATATTATTGCTTATATTAGGAAAATATCCTGAGATTTTCGTAAATATTTTACAGCATCATTCATACATCCCATTCGGATGTCATTCATTTCATACACGAACATAATTTGTACCATCATATCAATGCAGAATATCTGCTTCGTTTCCGTCGCAACCGTACATAATGTATAAACTTTTACAAAATATTTAATTCTAATATCAACTACCTGTGATGCGTTATATTGCTAAATATATACTTAAAAGGTACTCTGCGGATCACATGTTGTGTAGCCGTATTTATAGTTTTTAATTAATCTAAACATCATTTCAATCCACAAGGCCTATAGAAAAAGGAAGAGATTTCCACGTATATAGTCACTCATCACCGATATCTCTGGAACCATTAGAGCTAAAGACTTGAATTTGGTAGGAATATTCTTTTCACCGAGTAGAGGTCAGCTAAGAACGGATTTTAAGAAATTTAAAAAAATATATATTTTTAAATGCAATAAAGATTATTATTAAAAATAATGTAAATAGCAAAACAACGTTTGCAAGGTCAGCTAGTCTAAACATAATTTCAATCCACAAGGCCTATAGAAAATGGAGGGTACTATAGAACTATTGGACGACTATGAAACTAACTAACAATTTTTCCCAGGGTTCCGTGTGAGCGTATAACCACTATAGGTCATTCAACTAACTATGGGTTTGATATTAATCAAACGTTAAAAAGGATTATATTGTAACAGACTCAGAGGCTACTAACAAATGATTATCAATAATTAAAAATTCAGTACAATTTACGTTTGAAAATCAACATTATCACGTTAAAAATATGAACGTGGGTTCCGCAGGTACATGTTAAATATACTTTTTGTTTGTAAATACATACATATTACACATTGAATCACCCAAACTCCGAAACAAATATTTGCAGAACATACAAATATTTAGTCCGACCCGAGAATCTAACCCGAGACCTCAGCACAGCAGTCGCAAATAAATTGAAAATAAATAAATTGTTTGTCTTAGTAGTGCTTAAAATACACGGTGTGTTGAAGTGTTAACATTACAAACATCTATGAAAATAGGACACAGCCAAAACATAAATAATTTTTATAAAAAAAAATCGCACTTTTGGACCTTCCTGTTGTAAGCTATCTGGATATATATTTACAAAGACAGTGCTGCTGCATTACATTTAAGATTTTCAGTAGCGAATATTCTCTTCATTTAAATCTATAGTGTACTTAATATTCAGCTTATATACCTATACAAGGTTTTGTCGCCAACAACATTCCGATTTCACCGTGTAAGCATTAGGAAAATGTAGTTTTTAACATTTAATATTAGGCCTGTTAACGCTTTAACTAATTTAAATAACCGCACTTGAACGTGATTGGCTGAATGTTAAGGTGACGTAACAAAGACGGTTCGAGAGGTTCGAGAAGCGTCCCCCTTTTTTGACAGACAACAAAAACGAACATGTAAGACCGGCGACCTAAAACCATTTTCTTCTATTATTACTGTAATTACTGTGTAAAAGTAAAAATAAATATGTAGCAACCAAAGGGCACATAGTTTAATTGAACAACAAGGCATCGTCGACAACAAGGCCTATTCACATTACTTATAATATATATCTGCTAGGGATGCTTAACTCATTTCGGGCCTCGGTGAGAGCCTGTTAGTGTGAAAATAGCTAACTTAACAGATCGCTTCACCTATCGATAACGGGTCCTCATTCATTTTTTTTAAGAACAACTCCCGCAGTAGGATTGTATAGCCGGTGTTGCGTAAGACTTTACAAACATACATGAAACGGAAAGAGATATCACCCAGACTTAGAAGAACAATTTGTGGATCACACAATGTCAAATGTGAGGATCGAACCCACAACACACTACGCCATCCGTGTAATCATTGCGTCGGAAACCAGTCGAGCATCCCGAAAATATAAACGGGCAAGATATACTGTTGTCAGTTTATTTATAATATGTATATCAAAGCTACGTATTAAAAATAACGTTCATGTTTCAATGACACCTATATTTTATACTTAGTGTAATTTGTAAGTCCATATTTATCACGTGTAAATCTATACTAATATTATAAAGCTGAAGAGTTTGTTTGTTTGTTTGAACGCGCTAATCTCAGGAACTACTGGTCCGATTTGAAAAATTCTTTTAGTGTTAGATAGTCCATTTATCGAGGAAGGCTATAGGCTATATATCATCACGCTAAGACCAATAGGAGCGGAGCACCAATGAAGAATGTTTCAAAAACGGAGAAAATTTATTACTATTGAGAGACGCAGACGAAGTTGCGCGGGTCAGCTAGTCAATAATATATTGGTGTATCATTAAGGCTCATTACATATAATGGAAATTAAATAATATCTATTTTAATTAAATACATTACAATACCTATATGTTTTCTAAAAATTTATTGTAGATACCGTATACTTATTTATTTAAACTCGAATTGTACGTAAGCTTTAGGGAGCGGGGACTATGGGATCAAAAGTAAGAGGTAAGGAGGAGGGAGGTAGGATATATCTCCAATAAAAAGCTGCAGCGAGTTCTGTTACATTCTACGTTGAGTTTACACTCTTGAGATTTCTATGCTAATATTAAATTAGGGATAAATGGACATAGCTTACACTTCAGTAACAACTATTCCCGTTAAAATAAATATAAGAAATAACATTGCTGTCAACAACATTGCAAGAAAAATGTTTTTAATCATTTATGACATTACTGGCATACCGTCACCACTCACCATCCATATGACAACAATAGTTTTGAGATATTTTACGCTGATACACAACCTTACTATCGTTACACATGTATGTAATATAATTAATAAATACAGGCAAGATTAATCACTTTTTTAATAAATATTTATCGTGCACGGTTAAGTCACTTATGACCAATCACACTTGAACTAAAAAACATATTCGTTATTCTTACTGTGATAAGCAGGAATGACATATAGGGCGCTAGACGGTTGCCGCTAGAGGACTGTACCTCGATATCTTGTAAAATTCGTAAAAAAATATATTATTTCGGGCACAAAATGCTATGGCACCTATGTTTTATCGATTATGTGGATTAAATTTATAATATGTGTAGTGTACAATTAATTAAATAACTGTCTGTCATCAGTTGGGGGTGGGTCGCATCATCGCGCTCTGGAGAACTTCCGTCCACCTGTACAGGTTTGAAAAAAAGTTATTTTAATTTTCTATTACACCAATAAAAGCTAATGACAGTACCAGTGCGGAAAAATAGCATGCGAAGAATGAAATTTAAAACAGAAAATCTTATAAAAATTACATTTCTTTTTAGGATTGTTAACTTTAATAAAAAAAATTCAATACAAAGTTATAGACAATAAATCTTTTTTTTTTTCTAAAAGAGAATTCCTGCACTGGGAATAAATCCTAGGAAAATATAACGTGTGACTTTACAAAAATGGCTGAAACGAACACAACAAAACACTCAGACTCAGAACAACAATTTATGGATCACAAAAGGTGTTGTCCCTCGTGGGGACCAAACCCACAATACTCAGCGCAGTAGGCAGCGGCGAGGTGACCGCCTAAACTACTACGCCATTCGTGCAGTTAAAATCGTCTTTCTATACAATTTCCTTGTGGAGAATTCTTTATGATTTGATAATAACTAATGAAATATGGAGGACATTTTGCGTTAGACGCTTACCTGTTGTATGTGTAGTAGCTGTCAGCCCTGAAGAAGTAAACATGGTTCTTGAATTGCAGTTTGAACACAAACTCTTTGTCGATTCCGTCCTCAGAGGTTGGTGTGCAAACACTGTACCTAAAAGTTAACATATAATTCATTAACATTGTGAACTAACATAAAACACAGCTTGATTAATTTGATGCACACATATCAAATAGCTAAGTTTAGTTCAAGGTATTGATAATTCAATAATTATAGCTGTTTCTCATAATATTCTATAAACTAATAATAATAATATTGTAATGCATTTATAAACTAAGCAGAGCTTGGACTATGGGTACTAGACAGCTGATATACTACATGTATATTTTACATAGAAATATCCAGACAGGACACAAATGTTTAGATTCGAGCGGGAATAAAACCCGCGATCTTTGACTTAGCACAGTCTATATTATACAATTAAAATTGAGGATTGAAAGATAGGGAAATTTTTAAAATTAAAATAAATAAATTAAAATCGATTAAAATAGGGGATGTAAATTTTAAGTCTAAAAATCCTCCTTAGTAAGAAGAAATCGGTAACTACTGAATAAAATCAATAGTGTTAGCTGACTTGTGACAATTGAATTTACCTTTATCAGTAATAATATTAAAAAATAATTGTTAAATTCAAATATAAAAACACTTTTACTAACCCCAAGAGCGGCAAAGAAGCGAGTGGTGTGTCGTCCTGCCAACTCTTGTAGAAGAAAAGTGTGTACACGGCGAACACAACCCACAGCTTCTGCCAGCCCGGCGACTTCTTGAACTTGCGTAACAGGTACCCTGACAACTGGGTCTGAAATATTGATACACGTAGTTGACATGTTTAGTAATGGGCAATAACTTATGTATTTATTTAAAAATGTTAACTTGGTTTGTGTACGCTTCAACCAATCCAAAAGTTCTGCACCGGTTGAGCTTAATTGAGAAATTTAGACACGATACACAAATTGCATCAAAGATAATTTTTATCTTTTTCGCGTCAGTTTTAATAATAAGAATAATAAACCTCACACATCTCAGACAGCCGTCTGATCCCTAACTAGGCAGAGCCTGTGCTATGGTGACCAGACTGCTGTGATAAACATAATGATTTATTTTTTAATACATACATATTATGGATAAATTACACCCAGACACAGAACAAATGATCATCACACAATATTTGTCCTGGGTGGGAATAGAACTCACGACCTCTGTCTTAGCAGTCAGGGGCACTAACCATTAGACCAACAGGCCCGTCAAATTGTCTTTCTCATTTCTTATCAATGCACCCACAACGTGTGTGTGTGTAGTTCAGCTTGTACGAAAGATAAATAAACATGATATGAATGAGTAATTCGTACCCTCATGGCGAGATGTAGATGTGAGCGGTCGAGCGACGTGACGCGATGCCAGCACACGTGCGCCAGACCACCACCGCCACTGCTCTGAGACGTCTCTGCTACACAAATGAATACACAGTTGTAATCATTATCATTACTTACATGTGATTAATGGCAACAATCATTAATATTGTTACGGTTTTGGAATTTGAAGTGAAATCTGAACCTTCTGATGACTTAAGAGACTTTATTCAGCAACACACTTAAATGAGTCCAATCAATATATTTTACTAAAAGTCCGAAATGGACACATTCGCGGTGTTTCTTGACAAGATTAGTGATCGCCTAAAGGTCGAAATTCGAGTTTCAATTCATTAAACTATTGGAAGCTCTCATTTTTTATTTAGTTTATTTTTTCTAATGATATATTGATTTTTTACATTGAATTAAACAGTATATGCGGTGATAGATTGAGAATACGGAGTGTCACCACCCTTATTCATCCTGTGGAGGGATAGCATAAGAGCCGACTAAACTTTATAGGAAAACATCACTGCAAAAAGAGAAGGAATACTATAACAACTCGTCTAGTCAGCGTGGTATTGTAAGCATTAAGGAGAGACCTATGTTCGGTAGTGGATTATTGAAGGCTGTTGATGTGATGAATTTAAAACATCAAACAAAGAAAAATCTTTCCAACATCAACCGTTGGTCTGCGATCCGACCGCACGTGTAAAGGTTATAGGTTTAAATAAATCCTTTTCTGAGTCCCTGTGAACGATACGGCAGCGCATAAAATACGTACTAAGAAAATAATTGATTTCTATATTTTAAATAAGTATTTTGTTTTTAATTAGGAAATGAGTAAAAAAAAGTGAAGAATTACGATGTTTGACTAGTGCCAAAGTGTCGATTGTTTGTAGTCGAGTAGTCGATATCTTCAGTTTGGTTAGTAAAGATCACTATTTACATACCTTGAACCTCTTGTTCGTAGGGCGTCAGTTCTGTGTCCACCTCTGGATACAACTTCTTAGCGAGTTCTAAAGTCGCTTGTAGAGCGTCACACCACCCTCTGTACTCAATATCATTGGGGGCACTGAATAGAAGATTTATGTCGGGACCTAAGCGATGAAAACACAATAATTTATTTATTATCTATTTTGTACACTACAAATAATAACACATAAATTAAATTTTATGTCTTTAGGGATACTAAATAATGATAATATTTTAGAACACTGTGTTCAACACCTGCGTTACCTATCATAAAATAGCGAGTAGGATTGGACAAACAGGTTAAAGGCAATACCAGTGAGCGTGAAGGAGTGCGGCAGGTCGTGTCCCGCCGTGGCCAGCGAGTGCAGCGCCAAGGCTGCGTGCGCGCGGAACGTGCTCGCGCCGCACTTCGACGTCACCACCAACACGTCGCTAAACTGGGAAGCGACAGGGATAGGTTAATACAACTCATCCATGGATTAGTTTAACTTCGATGAAAACTCACTCACCAAAAATAACATTCTCTGCTGGAGCCCTCGCGACGAGTGTTTGTAAACACAACCCATTCTAATAAACTCTCTCTCTGCAACTAGTAACTTGTCGTATCCTGCAAATTATAAGCATGATTATTGTGGCTCCGACAGTGAGCTGAAATAAAGTTTTTTTTACTCTAATCTTCACTAATATTTTAATTCTACTATCTATCTCATTTACACCTTTGCACTTGTATAATATCACAATTTTAACACGATTAGATCTACTTTTGTAAAATAGGAACGATTCCACATTTGCCAAAATTCAATTAAGCATGTTTAAAACTTTCAAAAGCATCTCGGTCTTCATCAAAACGATCTGACAATTTTGATGGAATAAAAAATAGTATGACTAGATTTTTTACCACAATTTCGTTATAAAGAATACAATTTTGTCGTATTCAAAAATGAAACAGAACAGCTTTATTTAAAACTATCATTGTGTAGTTTGATGCCGTTTTGGCCAAGCACATCCTAAGTACATCCATGATCGAAGATGGCGAGGTTACCGGTGATGTCCCGCTGCAGCTGGCAGAGCGCGGCGTGGTTCTCTCCGTGCTGCAGCTGGTCGCTGGCGTGCAGCGCCACGCGGCTGCCCACCTCCAGCGCGCGCACCGACCACGAGCTCTCCAGGGCGTTGTATAACTCTGTCGACAACATTTACCGCTATTTTATACCCTCTTGAATGGTCGGTGTTGAGGTATCATGGACCCCCGAGGAGGTCCACGCGGGGGGATCGAGTGGAAAGAACGCGCAGAGAACCGTTGTTAAACAATTCTTTCGTTGCTTTTCACTACGAGGCCTTCCATAAATTGTGTCGGCCGAATTTTAAGACTTTCCCAATCCTCCCCCGTTCTTGTTTCAGGTTGTCACATTTTTAGAACCCCCTCCCCTTGATGTGACGTCACACACATTTTTTAATTTTACCATTCAGAACTCTCGTGAATTTTAGAAACTGATGAAGTGTTAACAAATATAGATCGAGTTCGTAAATTTGTAGTTTTATATTCACATATAAATTTCGCGTTTTAATATTTTAACAGGTGACGTCACAAAGCTCTTGTCCACCCTCCCTGCCTCTTGTCACACCATGTCACATTCCGGTGATACCCTCCCCCTTGTGATGTAATTTATGGATGGCCTCTAAGTGATTATCGGAGCCCAAACCCTCTGATTCTGGGGGATGACTCAAAGGGTCGCACTTGTGACTCTTGAGTTCTCATTTGTCGTTTGCCCTCTTATACAATTAATATACAATAAAAAAATAAGTTGGAATTGGTTTTGTGATTACGGAGTTGGATCTACTCAAAACAAAAATATAAAAAAATATAAACAAATTTGTTATATTTTTGTCCTAATTGTGTGGTTACCGATAGCTAGTCGATGGTAGTGCAGCGCTCTATGCAGCGGCCGCAGCAGTAGCGCCGCCAGCGGCAGGGGCGAGCGCGAGTCGAACTCCGCCGCCACACGCGCTGCGCTGGCGCTGCTGCGCCTGACACTCTCCACTACACCGACTAAAGACCCTGCGCGACTACTATACCAGAGGTAGGCCTGAAAGTACATTCACACAAGTCATATTCCAACCATTTTTTCATAACCGTACAAGATGAATTTATTGAAAACCATAAACTAGAAATATTACACATATTACATTATAATTCGAGAGCTTTCGAGTTTAAAATTTAATTACAGTAAGCTTTCATTCCAAGCATTGTACTGTTATGGTGTTGATACTGTAAACCTTCATGATCTAATATTCACATTGATTTTTTTTTCGTATCTATAAAATTTCCTATTGAATATTATATGAAAAGCTGTAATATGACATCTTAAATTCAGCAACTGAACACGATATTAAAAGAACTAATAATCTAAAATTGATTATGTAACCTCTATTGACGAAATATGCCACTTACCCGTTGAGATATAAAAATAGAGCAAGCTAGGTGCGAGAGAGAAAGCTACCGTGAGGCCCCTCTTGTTGTCTTTTTCTAATCAGGCGAGGATGCGCAGTACTCTTTATGGATTGGAGAGAGACAGCAAGAGGGGGGCCTCTCGGCAGCTTTCTCTCTTGCACCCTGCATCTCGCTTTCGGCTTGCTCTATTCTTATATCTTTATGAACTCACTTTATCTGTACTCGATAGATGTTCATAAAGTACATCAGCTATTTTCTTGTACTCTGGCTCCTCTCCTTCTAATGAACAAAGAACACATTTAAACTGTTGCTTGAATATTTATCTTATTTATCAATATGTTATAGTGCCATTATATTTTGCGTAGGTTCTTGTAGATGGGTAGGTATATAATCTCGTATCTTATATCATCTCTGTATTACTACAAATTATAAAAACTTATAGTTATTAAGCTTTTGGTGTGATTTTGAAAGAAATTAAAAAGTTTGAAAATATGTAGAAAAGTTTTCAATTTTTTTACTGTCTATACATACGTGGATTCATATTTGACAATCAATTATCTTCGGAAAAGATAATAATTATACGCTATAATTTTTTTTGTGGAGACTTGGTTAATGGACAGTGTCTGTAGTGATGAATTGTTCGATAAGCGTTATTTAGTGTGGAGACGCGATCGCGACTATTGTCATACGGGTCAGAAAAGGGGGGGTGGAGTGTTAATTGCAGTTCGGAAAGATCTAACCGTTACGGAAAAGTGTGAGTGGCGTAGCTCTGCGGAAGATCTGTGGATAACAATTGTTTTGAAAAGATCTAGACCCTCAGTGACATATAACGTGCATATTTGTGCTCTTTACCTTTGCCACGAGAACTCAGGTAATTCTTATAATACTCAATTACAAAACTTTACCTCTAAACTTGACCATTTAATGATGTCCCATTTATTAGACAAATTTATTATATTGGGTGATTTTAATTTTGGTAATCAAGTGAGCTGGAACTTTGAAAACGCATGTGATAGTCTAGTACCGTCGAATTATACTTGTCAATACATAACCGAGTTTCTTGATACTGTTCTTACCTGCAATCTATTACAATATAATAACATACGTAACGTAAATGATAGGTTGTTGGATCTCGCCTTTTCGAATGGATTACTGATAGTCGAGGAATGTGACGTTCCGTTGGCATCTCCAATAGATTTGCACCATAAACCCTTGCATATTGAGGCAGATTTCGTGGAAATTCATAGCTTTGAAGAAAATATAACACCTAAATATCTGTTCCACAAGGGGGACTACAACGCTATTAAGTCTGAACTAAATGATACTGACTGGCATTCCCTGTTGACTACTGGATCTCTGGAGGATGCGGTGAACAATTTTTACAGTAAATTATATGCTCTAAGAAATAAATTTATACCCATTAAATCCGTAAGACACAATTCACACCCGCGTTGGTATAATTCTGCGCTTATAAAACTTTTAAAAGAAAAATCGAAGTATCATCGAAGGTTTAAATTATATGGTAATCAAAGTGACTACTTAACGTTTTCTTTACTCCGTCGGCGAGCAATTGAGCTAGAAAAAGCCTGTTACAATGAGTACATAAATAAAGTAGAACAATCTATTTTGAATAACCCGAGGGCCTTTTGGTCTTTTATTAAAAGCAAGAAAAGCACATCATCACTTCCTAGTTCGCTATTCTATAGAGATGTAACTGCGAAAAGTGGCGTAGAAATTAGTAACTTATTTGCTATGTATTTTAAATCAACTTTTCGGGATCAGCAGAATACAGATACAAACCGTATGCATCACCACACTGAGATAGGTAACTGTTCAAACTATATTAGTTCAATTAATGTTTCTGAAGACAAGGTATTAAATCTGCTGAAAACCCTAGACCTTTCCAAATCTGGTGGTCCAGATTACATTCCACCGATCTTTATAGTTAGTTTAGCGGAAAGCCTAGTTGTGCCACTCTGTGTTATTTTTAGTAGATCCTTGACAGAGGGCACAGTTCCACTGATCTGGAAATCTGCCTTCATAACTCCCATATTAAAGAAAGGCGATAAATCTAACATCGAAAATTATCGCCCAATATCAAAATTATGTTTATTTGCAAAAGTGCTTGAACGGGTTGTTTATAATGAGACTTATTTGGCGATTCAGAATATGCTTAGTAGTGAACAACACGGTTTTCTTCGTAAACGTACTACTACTTCAAACCTAATATTATCCCACGATTTCATATCCAGGGGCATGGCACAGGGGGCACAAGTGGATGTGATATACACTGATTATATGAAATGTTTTGACCGTATTGATCATAAAATATTATTACAAAAAATTCTTGCCGCTGGAATACACGGCGATTTATACCGTTGGTTTTGTTCCTATATTGACAATCGGTCCCAGGCGGTAGTGGTCCAAGGTTTTACCTCTTGTTGGTGTTCAATCCCATCTGGGGTGCCCCAGGGATCACTTTTGGGCCCTCTGCTATTCATAATATTTATTACAGATATTAATAGCTGTTTCCAAAACTCGCAAATACTCTTATACGCTGACGATATGAAGATTCTTAAAACAATTCATAATTCCTCTGATGTCGAGCAGCTTCAAAGTGATTTGGACAACTTTGTAACCTACTGCAAAATAAATAAGCTTGACCTTAACGTGGCTAAATGTTGCTATATCTCCTTTACACGCCGGAAATCTACAATTGGGTCTGGGTACCAATTAAACAATGAATTTATTAAGAAGGTAGATCACATTAGGGACCTTGGTGTGGTGATGGATTCGAAACTTTTATTCGATATGCACGTCGATCATATTACAAAACAAGCGTTGAAAGCACTGGGTTTTGTCGTGAGAATGTCTACATGTTTCCGATCTCTAAAAACTGTAAAAATTTTATACTGCGCCTATGTACGTAGTCTTCTTGAATACGCGTCACAGGTATGGAACCCACAATATCAAGTTTATAAATCGCGCATAGAGGGTATTCAGCGTAAGTTTCTGCGTTACTTAGATATTAAAGCCCAACAATACTCTGCCGATTACAATGAACGTTGCAAGCGTTATCATTTCTTGCCTTTGGAACAAAGACGAACTGTTAGTGACATATGTTTCCTGATAAACATCGCCAATGGTACCATTGATTGTCCAGAATTGCTGAGCAATATCACACTTGGAACGAATCAATTAGTTTTTAGACATCGTCCCCTATTACACGTTCCCTTTGCTGTAGCTAACTATAGGCGGAACTCGTATCTTTTGCGTGCGGCTGAGAGCTATACTGATGTGGCATCAAAGTTGGACTTAGATCTGTTTTGTACAAATTCAACTACAGTCAAAAGACTTTTCAGTAAATATTTCTTTGGCAGCGACTGGTAGATATACCTACTGAATTACCTTGTTTATCTTTTAATTATTATTTTATTTGTTTTTTTTTTTGTGTTGCCTATGATTTAGTTGTCGCTTTTATTTTTTGCTGACACTGCTGTTCAGATCAACTGGGAATATTATGTATAACTGTGGTTTATTATTGAGTTATTTATATGTGGAAGCTTTTTATTAGCAATTTAAGCGTTACTCAGCCGTGTATGTTAATATTAGTCTGTAAGCTTTCCTAAGATAAATAAATAAATAAATAATAAATAAATAAATAAATAACAGAAACTATAATAATATATCCTAGGAGCAGCAAAAGGATATTAATACAGTTTATGTATAATATAATAGTAACATTCCTAAAGCGGTTTTCAATTGCATAGTTCTTAATATTTTATATTTGAGTAAAGTACCATTGATATGTGTTTACCAGCTACGTTTACTGTACTCACCATCACCTCGGTTCCCATTAGCCAGTAGCCTGTCGAGTTTGGCCAGCAACTTGCCATTAGGCAGTGCGAGAGGTTCCAGGGCAAGGCAAGCTCGAGCAAGTGCAGCACTCGCCTCGTCACCAACAGACGCTAGCTCCGAAACACATGCGCTCCATTTCTGTACAATAATAATGTTTTACAGATGTCTTACTGTAAATCAGGGAGCATCCATTAGTCACGCGAGCGGTTTCTGTGAGTAAGATTCGTGTGACACCCCATTCGTATATTTAAAAATTTAAATAATAATACATAGTTAAGCAACAAAAACAACAGCACTGCAAAGAGAAGGAAAGCTTGACACAAATCCTACACTAACCCGTTTGGCCAGTATAGTAAGCCAAAACCTCCTTTCTAAGGAGAGGCCTATGTCCAACAGTGGACTGCTAAAGACTGTTGATGATTATGGTGAAATGATGTTGTTCAAAGCTGACGTAAGCTTTACAGTTGTGAAACGCTGACCTCTACTATTGTCATTAGTGGTCCTATATATATACATACAGAGTACACCAGGCACGTCACAGAAAAGTTTTTTTAAATATAGATACTAATAAGGAGTAACTTAAGCTACTTTTTTTAGATCAGCTTCGCCCCGCGGCGTTGCCCGCGGTTATAACAACAAACGCACGTAACACGTAACACCGCGGGTCTCAGCGAGTCTAAAAAAAGTAGCTTAAGTTACTCCTTATGTTTAGCTATCTGCCAGTGAAATCGGTCCAGCCGTTCCAGAGATTACCCGAACAGACAGACAGACAGATAAAAAATGTTATTTTGGCATATGTACCGTGTAAACATACATATGCATTTAGTAAAAAGCGGTTATTTTAATATTACAAACAGACACATTTATTTGTATAGAAAATGGCAATTCAATGGAGAGCCAACATAACGCTGTCAAATAAGTCATAATAGACCACTCCAAGATATCCTTTACTACTTTTAAAATTGAGACAACTTAGGATTATAAAGCTGCATACATAAATCCCCAATAATTGTTTGTTAATCAGAGATTAAAGTGTATTTACTAATTATTAACACGAGTTATTACTTTAAAGGCCGATGTGTCATGGCCTCATGTTTATGAAACCAAACTGATGCCTATTATAATGGTTATAGGACTTACCACTGTGATGAGCTCCAAATCCCTTTTGTACGTCCGTTCAGTCATCAGCAGTTCCTTGGCAACAAAATATGTGATATCCATGTTTCGTTTACGAGGACCGTCACTGACACCTTCGCGAAGCGTGCCCAGTAGAGTGGACGAAATGCTGAGAAAATAAGGAGACATGTTGTAAAGTAAGTACTTTCTACTGAATCTAAGTACTGTTCGGTTAAGTCGGTAATAGTCCGTGTAGTGACGGATTAAGAATACGGAATGTCACTACCCCAATTCATCCCGTGGGTGTCGTAAGAGCCGACTAAGGGCGCAAAACAACGCAGGACACCAGCACTGCAAAAAGAAGGAAAACTTGACACAAACCTTATACCAACCCGTCTGGCCAGCGTGGTATAGTAGGCCAAAACCTCCTTACTAAGGAGTGGCCTATGTCCAGCGGTGGACTATTACAGGCTGTTGATGATGATGATGATGAAGTCGGTAATGTTTTTATATCTTTGTTTTACAGAACCAGAAGTTTCCAACAGAGGTATAGGAGTTATATACGTACACTATTGAAATTGAGGCAGGCTACTCACCTGTTATTGTTTCGCCTTGTGAGTGTATCGCCAGCGTCGCTTTCGCCACCACTTAGAACATCCATGCTATTCACATACTCCGAAACGACAGATACTGCAAATAAATATGCATATACTTGATATATATTTATACTATTTTTCACACAAATCAGTGCAAATTGCTATCGACTTTTATTTTTTTATTTATTTTACCCCGCATATAAAACTCGATAGCAATTCGCACTGATTTTTTAACACAATTTACCGTTTGGCTGTAGCTTTTTTGTAATAAATTTATTTAAATTTGGAATAAAAAGATGACGTCACTGAAATAGCTCATAAATCATAATCATACATGCTACGTCACAACTTGGTATCAAGTTTCATAATTGAGAAGCCATCAACTACATATTAACTGTCTGTTACAATATAATTTATACTGTATGTTTACCATTAACATTTCCATTGACAACGTCATTATTGTTGACACAAGTCTGTTTGTTGTCCACGACATCGTGTCCATTGGTGAGCGGTTTGTGCACGATGGGCGTGGAGGCGCACACGGGCTCGCCCGCAGTTTGGTCGCACACCGAAGTGGGTGACATACACAGGCTTGCTGAAGACACTGTGTTGTCGTCTTCTTCGGGGGATACCTCGTCTGTGTAGAAGAGAAGCGCGTTAATTTTATATAAAACTTGTAATTATGAGGTTTGAGGTGCATATTTTTAATATACTTTAAAATTTAATAAAGAAAAGTAGTTAGGGTCAACGTGTGTCAAAAAAATCAGTTAGTTACGAGTTATTTCGTCTCGTACAACATTATTTACGATTGTTGGTTTGCATTTCTTTAGTCAACTAGTAGCAAATATCGTAATTACATTAAGATTATAAATTAAAAACAAAGATAACATAAACTTAGTTATAATAAACTGATTTTTTCATTACTTGAAATTACAACTATGATAACAAGTTTCAAATTCAACATCAGGCATTTCCAAGTGTTAAACATACACATGATTTGATCACATTCATCCTCATTATCATAGTTATAATAAAAATATGTAGAAATGTACGTAGAAATTAAGGGACAAGAAATACACAATGGGCCAATCAGCATGTATGTGTGTGAATACTCTTTCGTAAATAGCTTCAATGAAAATGATGAAAGGCCTGAAGAGCTACTTTGGTTCAAATTCTTTGAAAACTATTAAAATAATACTTTGTGTGCCTAAAAAAATATAATCATGCAAATTATAAGGTAATTATGTGCAAAAAAATACCTGGAAAAAATAAAATTTAGTAAAAATCTTAACTACAAATACATCATTCGAATCTTAAAAATAAAATTTAAGAAAGCGTGTCAAAATATAATACTCCACTAAACGACATTATATAAAACTTACATCACAAGTCCCGGCTGCTTAATTAGCTTTAGGTTTTAAGAAAACATAAATGGTATATGACATTAAAACTCGAAAAGTTTTTATTTATTTATTGTTAACTATCCCCGAGCAGGGCGGGGTAGTGTTGTGTATTGCAGGGATACAGTACACTAACACTCACATATAAATTCAAAAAGGAAGTAACGTTTCAATAATCGCAACCATATTTAAATTACATGTGACAATAACGCGTCCACATCACAGGGTACGGCAATGTATGTATGAACATTTAACACTTGTAGTATGTGCAATGTAATTTCCGTTTAAATGTTAGGTATACACATGACGTGATAGATGCATCAATTGCTGAATTTATAATTAATCACTTGTACGACTGACTTTAAACAATTCTAGCTGTTATTAACATGTTTAGTCAGAATGTAATGGAAAGGGAGCGGCAAAGGCATTTTAAATTGTACCTACTGTCTTATTGTTTTAATGACAGTATGCATTACCATTAAAAAAAATAGATTAAGTTTTTCAAGACCAAGCGTGTAGCCCTGACACTATGGAAAATGCTTGCAATAAGATGTGTGTAATATGTACTACAATAGAAATAAAGAATGGTGAGCGTATCATCTCGCCGTGCGTAGCCCGGGTCATGATGACGCCATTAAAGCATGCCATCATGGGATAATTTTAAGTACTTAATGGTAAGTAGTAAGACAATTGCTGTCGACATACAACCGCAGTGTAAACTGCCTACTCACTTGTACACCTTAGGTATTCTAGAGGGATACACGGGTGATATAATCACGGTTTAAGCGCTTCAAACAATATACCTGCAGATAACAGATACGTTTACGGCCAGAATAAAACAAAGGGGAGAATATAACTGGTGAGGCAACACGCTGGTTAGTCATTTGTATAGGAGTAGGTATGGCTCGTAATATCCTTTTGCGAAGTAAATATTAGAAACACATTTGACAACATATTCCTAGTTATATATTCCGTATTAAGATAACGCATTGATTCAGTTCGAAAATATTTGAACTACTCCCAACATTTATACGTTTAATAGTATTGATGTATTTTATTGCATCGCCGTAACCATTCAAAATGGACACGCTAAAATAAATAATGAAGTGAACTGGTAACATTACAGTCTATTCGGGTTGTACACTCTTAATCGAAAAGTCGAAATACTTAAGTGCTAATGTTTTTTTTTAATATCTTACTGACAGTTATTGCGCTAACTAAGAGAGTCTCACGAGACCTCTGACATACTAATATCTAAAATTGCTCCGTGCACACAAATATGTACTGCTCAAAACTTTAGAACTGAATTATTCTTGAACACAATTTGTTCGGGGCTGATACGACGACATCTTACAAAGGACGCAGTACTGATATGCAAGTAGATTATCTAATTATAAAGGCTATTTCAAGGCGTGTAGACAGTCAGTCATTTATCGATGCATATAATTTGTTCAAAAGGACATCTGTCGAGGACATAGATAAACTTTGCAAAATCTTTTCCCAAGTTTATCTATGTGGTAGAACCTACTTGCATACCAGAAGACTTATTAAATCATAAAATATACAGTGTCGTTAGACAATTCTTTTTCAGCATTCTAAACGCTCCCAAAAAATTATTAAACTTTTTTAAAACAGTTAGGTATTATAGGTTTTTGTGCGTTAAAACCCTAAGAGTATAAAAAGTTTTTTAGTTTTATGAGCAGAATGAATACAACACTACGTGTAAAACATTTAATACGAAGTATTTTGGCAAAGACAAAATACAGATAAAAGATCATATTTAAAGTCGATTTGCCACGAACCCTTAGTCAAAGAGTTGATGTTTATTTTATTCTCTGTTTTTGTATATTTATTTTCTGTTTTGAGATTTAAACCAATATTGTATGGTATTTAAACATATACGATTATTACTTCACTTGTTATACTCTAAGCGGATCTCCAGCTTGTTATACTAATAACCATCAGAGCAAAGAGAGTAAGGATCCTTATGGGTTGATTTCTTTAACTGTTTTTATGTACTCACGAGTGTTTTTGGAATTTTAAAAATTAATCATAAAAGTTTGTCCGTCTAATTATATCAACTTTCTCTTTGTCTATGTACAAAAGACAATAATAAAACTCATTTAATTCATTAATTTGCACTCCATTTTAATAAAAACAATAATTATTATATCTTTTATTTATATTTTAGAGAGGGAGACTTCCTTGCCCTCTTTACTCTCCACACTGGAAAACAATCAATTTAATATAGAAATCAATGTGTTGCGCAATTTCCCTTAACGTAAGTGCATTAACAGCAATTTTTTTAAATTTAATTTACTACAACAAATATTTTTTATGAAAATTTGGATACAATACTGAACAGACAGAATTGAACTACATATGTTTGTATGTCGCGAACGCGAACGCGTCCATTTATGAAGTAAAGTAAACATTATTTGACGTTAAGAATTAACATTTTAGAAAATAAAATGTATTATTGTGTCTAGAGATACTTTACTTGTAAAATTGAAGTCCTCGACTATAAAATTCAATTTTTTCTAATGTTCAATTTATACCTACAATTAGTATCATTAAAGTATTTGAACAGAAACATTATGTTTTATTTGTTTAGAGGAATAATGCACTTATATTCCCACTCAATAATTTCACATGCGAATCGACAGACATAACTAATTCTAAATCCACGAAAAAGTCGCGTTACTTCTAAACCGACACACAATTCGTCTATTTGTTCGATAATTTATTCCTATCTAATTAAAATTAACCGTAACATGTTTTATCGTGTTTACAGAAACTACTAACAAAACCTTTTAAATTTTAACGATACAAAAAAATAGTAATTTAAAATTTTCTTTTATTAAATTAAATTGTTAAATAAACTAGTTATTAGTTGACTTCGATTATACTTATTTGAAAGCAAAACGACCATGACGTCACCGGCTTAAATAGTTTACGAATTTTGGCCATCACAGATATTTTGAACGTGTATTGGTCGGTATGAATTTTTCACAATACTACACAGGTACGATTTTCCCGAAAACCGTACCTGTGTAACCGATAACAGCGCCGACTGTATCATTCCGATGTTGACAGTCTGACAAAAGGAATTTCAAAGGTACAGGAATGAAAAGAGTAATATTTAGAATATTCCTATCATTGTTGTACAATTGAAACTCATTCTAGGTTACACTTCAATCGGATATAATTTTTTAAAACAGTCTCAATGAATAACTCAACTTAATTCATCGTAGAAGACAGACATACAATATTATCAAAAACATATAAGTTGTAAAAGTGCATAACATAAAGATGTACATAGTCGTAGGTGGATTTTATTATATACATTAAACGGTTGTATATGAATACAGTCTTTTTAACTTCCCAGGCTTGCGAAAAGGCTAAACACATAACCGGTTTATTATAAATATTACTATCCGCAGTAATAATGCATGTAACGTATGTTTGCATGGATTTTTTAACATAAGGTATCATCAAGGCTATAAGCAAAGAAAACGTTTTAATTAATGCCTGCTTTTAATTCATTTTTGTGTATTTTGGTGATTTAGTAACTTTATATTTTGGGACAAATGGGAAGAAAGTTTAGTCAATAAACGGTTTTGCTTATAGCTGATCTTGCGTTTTAAATTTCTGACGTAAAATTGCCTGCAAAATGGGTTTTTAATAAATTACTTGGTTGTGCAATACTTAAAAATAATGAATGAATTATTCAAGTAATTGTAACGATTGAATAAAAAAAAGTGTATCCAATCATTAATTCGATTACTATTTCTCCATTTTTCACACATTTGTATTTAGTTACACACATACACACGATACGTATATTCTCATATTTATACTATAACGCTTAAAGATTTCAAGTCATTATTCAAAATTACAACAAATTAATAATAATTGTAGTGTCAGAAAAATATTGAGCAGATTTGCCATGATTACAAATACCTTGTTAGACTTTAATCTTATACGAGTATTTGATAGGGATGAACGGAAATTAATATCAGTTATTACAAATATTTCGATTAAATAAAAATATTCTGTGCGATATTTATTTGAGCAGTAATGCTTAAATAAAACAACCAAGATCTTGGATCTCACCACACAAAGTAATCACAGCCATTACAATAATAATACTATTCAGAAGACAAACAATTTAACCTTCATAAAGATTGAAAACTAGAAGAATTTGGCACTATGTACTTAGTATACCTGTATTGCATTTCTTTGAAGCTTCAACTCTAGCTCTAAAAAACCAATATAATGATCAGATCAACAACCAAGACAAAATTACACTTCAGTTACATGGATCAGTATTACATGAATAAAATTTTGAAGACGTATAATGGGGATCAATACATATTTATAACTACATCTAAATACTTAACAAGCTATAGGTTTACGATCGCGTACGCACGATAGACGAAAGGGTCGCGCTATCCGGGAATTGGCACTAAATATTTTAAGTCATTTTTTACTAAATATTAGAAGTGACAATATAAATATTCGATATAATGTAATTATCTAATATAACAATAATTGCATTAGAATTTAAATTTCGAAATGAGTCGGCACGCTCGCACACCGCACACGACGAACGCATGATAACAATACTAAAACCGAAACCTAAATTATACTTCGACAAACTTTTATTTAATCGTTGTCGTCGTCTGAGCATAGAGGCGGCGGCAGCGTGGAAACATCAAATTTTTGCTCAGGGCTGTCACTAGAGGCTTGTGAGTCTACGTAATGACTAGAGTAGAACCTCTCTACATTGTTCAGGCTGAAACGTTGGTCTAAATCCCGAGAATAACGATCCTGATTATCACTCCTACTCTCATGGAGATCGTGGTCGTACTGCGGATAGCATTCTTGCGTTTGGAACATTACTACCTCTTCGTAATGTTCCGGATAAGGACTGCCTCTGTACGGTTCGTATTCGTCCTTATCGGGGGGTAGCTCTGTATCAGAATAAGCAACGGATTCCCCGCGTTCAAACAAGTAACTACCTGACTTGGACACTTTGGGAGCTCGTTTTATAGTATCAATCGGGTAAGCATAATCATCTGAATCATCTCTATCACTTTGGTCATCATAAAACCCTCTCTGATGGTGCTGACCAGATGATTCTCCAAGAGCGTCCTCGGGTTGTCGATAACTAGGAGCTTTAGACTTTTTCAAAGATGACTGGCGACTACTTTTATTTGAATAAGAAATACGCGGAGGACTATCTTCCGATACATACGGCGGTTCCTGTGAGTCAAGATAAGGATGCCGCAAACGACCTAATCTATCAAACCGTGGGAACCCCATTTCATCTTCGTCAGCCGACGAACCAAATCCTTGAAATTGCATAGGAGCAATGTTAATAGGGAATTGTTGTGCCTCGTAGTTAGCGCTTTTATATTTTGCGTACTCAACTTGTCCTTCTTCATCCTCAGAGTAACTTGCTTCCTGAATTTCATCATTTTTAGAATCGTTTTTAGACATTTCCGAAGACCCGGACTCTACCCCAGGTACATAGCTGTCAGAACATTCGGAGCTCTCCATCCGCCGAAGAGATTCTTCTACAGCCAAATATTGCCCTCCAAACTTATCACTTTCAGACGAGTACTGACTCTTGGTTGAATCTTCTTCTAAAACATCTTGTATTCTCTCTTGTCGTTTACGAGCACTGGTTACTTGTTTCTTGCGCCTAAATGTTTTCATCCTTTCTCTGGGATCTCGAATAACGTCTAGTGAGCTATCAGTATCATTGCCACTTGGCGGACTCTTAAGGGAAATGTTTCGGACCAGAAGAGATTTTTTGACGGGGGCTTTTAATGGTTGAATGGGAGGTGACTCAGAACTTAAGCTACTTGAGTAATAAGGCGAACAACGCGATAAAGGAGTTTTCCCTGATCTGTCAGCGGACTTTTTTTCCGTCAATTCTCTATGCACTGAAGGTATCTCAGGCACAGCGATGACGGGCAAATCAGATGAAGCAAGATAATGTTCATGGAAAGACCAACTTTTTGGCTTACTACGATACTGCTGAGAAGTCTTGTACTCTTTTATTTGATTTTTGGAAAGAGTCTTATCATCGTAGCTGGCATGTTTAGCTAAAGGTTTATAGTCGGATCTCATAAATTTACTACTACTGGCTTCATCACGTATTATATTTGAAAATTCTTGACTTTGATACCGTTCACTGTGCTTTTCTTCTTGGCTGTAAAGTTGAGATGGCATATCAATATCCAATTCTGGTTGAGTTACAAAATATGGTTTGAAACCACTGTCTTCACTTTGACAACGTAACGTTGGCTTTGAGTACCTATTAGTGTGTTCCTCATAACTCAAACTCTTTGGTGGTACTTTCGGATAACGTTCGTGTATACTATCTTGTGCTTGAAAACCTTGGTCAAATCGTAGCACCCCATTGGCATGCTTTTGCAAACTACTCAAGGAACTGGAGCTTGACTTGTCTGATTTATCACTGTAGCTGATAGAGGAAGATTTATCTGTTTTGCCAGTGTACGATGCAGTCAGTCTCAGTACGGGTTCTTTGGCATCTTCAATTTCAGGTGGAGGCGATGAAACTTCGGTAATAATTATCTCGGTATCTTGTTTCTCCTCGACCTCAGACTCCTTTACTACTGTATTATCAGATTTTGTTTTATCTGCATCATGTTGATCGTCGCGAGTAGTTGGGACCAATGTATGGCTGGTACTCGCAGACCAATCGGATATAGACTGAGCTAGAGTTAAAGTGCTATCACTCTTTGTGCCTGAACTACTGTCGATGCCTTTTCTCGAAATAGTTGTTTCTGAACTACAAAGTTTGTCATATTTTATAATTTCAGAGCTCTTATCGAAGCTGCTGCTCTTAGAACTCATTTCTGCCTGTGAGCTTATGTTAGGTTTCTGATCAGACTTCTTACTAACTTGCGATGAAGAGTAAAGTTTCGCAGATGCTTTTTCAGATTTATCGCTCTTGTTAACGGAAACGGCCGATATACTTTCAGAAGCAGATAGATTAGCGTATTGGCGAACAGTATTAGTCCCAGTAGACCATTCTGATATGCTCAAACATATTGACGTGTCTTCAGAGTGAGAGCTGTGTGTACATTTCTTTTGAGGCAATCCAATTTTGACTGTGCCATCCAAATCTGTGTCAAAAGAACTGGTTTCTTCTTCTGAGTGACTACTATGACTGCATCTCTTGCAAGTGCCAGCACTACTAACACTTAACTTAGTCACTGCTCGAACTGTGTCTTCGGCATTAGTTTGTGAAAGAAGATCGTCGATGGAAGTGTCAGAATTGTTTGACCCGAATGAATATTTTTGAGAACCTAATTGCGAAAAACCTTTGTCAAGATCAGGCGACAGAGACTTGCTATCAGCCCCAAATACATCATCACTATACAGGTGGTCATCGTCGAGTATTGGGCTGTGATTTGTAGGCGACTTCTGTGGTTGATTTATAATAACTTTGTCATCAAAGTTACTTTTGACATTAAAACCTTTGTTTTCAGACCGTGAACAACAAGATCCAACATCACTCATGAGACATGTAGCCTTACTTATTGTGCCGCTAAGACAAGATTTATCATAGTTAGGAACAACGCTTTTATGACAATTATAGTCATCGTGCTTTTCTAAAGGCTCCACCATATATCCAGACTGATCATAAGGAATAACTTTAGCACTTTTCGGAGAAAGACCCTCGTTCGATTTCTCTGACTTTGATTCTGGTATATCTTTGTCCAGTTCATCGTCGTTATTTAAGGTGTCACTGTCGTCGTCGGAATCCGCGAGCTGTTCTTTTGAGCTCTCTGATAGTAATGTTACTTTTGTAGGTTGTTCTGGTTCATTACTCATGTAATAAATATGCACTTTTTCTATAATGGGAGTTTCTAATAGACTCGATGGCAGGGGAGGCCATTGATCCAAATCACTATAGTCTTTTCTGCTCATTTCAGGTTTACCAGCCACTTGCAAAGGCAATTCTGGCAAAGGCCAGTCTTCGGATTCCTGACTCTCACTAGCAGACGATTGTTTTGACGGTGGTTTAGATTTCCGTGTAGTAGTTTTTGTAGGGCTTTCTATACACTTCTTTGGATCTAAAGACTCGTCAATTATTTTACCAGCCTTTTCTACCTCTTTTTTCGATTCATACATTTCACTTATTTTACTTTGATCTATTGGAATCTCAGGCATTTCAGCAGAAGTTCTTCTGTCCGTATCTGAGATATAGGCAACATTCGCGTTACTAGGCGGATCAGAGCTAAGACTGGCCTGATGATCACTGGAGTTAAGGGACTCCTCATTAATACTTTCTGACCGTGAACAGGCTTTTGTAGAGTCTTCGTCGCCACTCGTTTTTTCAGAAGCTGTACTACGTTCCGATATGCGTGATAATGTGCGTCCGAAAGTTTGGCCATAACCTATTACAACATCATTCGTATTACTTGAAGAAGTAGCTGGATATAAGAAATTCACAGGGAAATCGTTAAGATCATCGGTAAAATCGCCATCAGTTGAATCTTTGGATGTATTAGCAGAAAGAGGAGGATTTTTAGAAAATGTTTGGAAATCATCTAATACTCTTTGGTTGCCGTATTCAAATACATCTTTGTTGAGGGCCAGACTTTCATACCCTTCGTGATCTTGGGGTATCCAAGCTTCTTCGATACTTGTACTGTTTTCGCTACCTGAGGCGCCAAAGAAAGGTCGCCATGTGGGTTTTAGTTCTTCTCCACGACGATAAGCTTCGCCTAAAGACCCAGAAGTCGACTCTGTTGTTTCAAAAGAACCTCTTGATTCCACACTTAGTGAACCTCTAGAGTCCATACTAGATTTTGATGAACTCTTTTGATCATCTAGACGACGTCTCCTTGATGACGAGTCGTCAACGCTAAGAGATCCCTTAGACGGAGTAGTTGTAGTTGTTGTATCTACGCTCGACTTAGATGAACTTTTTTGGTCTTCTTTAAGCGATCTTTTCTTCAAACGAAGTTCTCTTTCGAATGACGAAGTTATTACGTTTCCATCATCATCAAAATCTATTGTAGTGTTTTGGTCCTCTTGTGATATTGTTATAGCGATTTTTGTTTTCTTGCCAGGCTTTTGTATTTCTTTTGCTGCTTCTGAGGTTTTAGATGCAGCTGATTGACTGGATTCTGATTCTTCTATAACGCATTTACCAATTTTATCAATACCAGGTTTCCTAACATTTGGTCTTGAGAGTTGCTCTACCGTTTTGTCAATACTTTCTGAACTGGACTCTGAATCAGAAGGTGCTTTTTGCGAATCTACTTGACCTTGCTTTTCTAAAGTAGGCGTTGGAGACTTTCTTGCACCATATTTCGAAGGACTCCTAGGGCTTTCAATACGTGTAATTTCAGGAACCGGTGAAGGAGATTTAGAATTTGACTTGGAATGCTCACTTGATAGTGTATGATGGGAAAGCAAGTGATCTTCCCCGTATTCCATAGCTTGTTTTAACTCCTCTAAACATTCTCGATCCTTCTTATTAAGCTTTTCAATATCTTGTGAAATGCCCAAAGGTCTTGCAATTGAACAACTAACACTTGACTCATCATCAATTGAACTACCTTTAATGCCACTTGACGGGCTGACATCTTTTTCCACACTGGTCCATGAAGTTGATTCAGAACTTCGTGACCGTTCAGCACTCAGCTTGAGAAGTTCACTGCGCCTTGACTTAGCTGTCAGTAACCCTTTTTGGTCAGGTTTTTGTTCAGTGGGAGATTTGTCACTTCCAGAACTACCAGTGTGTTCGTTTTCAGATTTATTAGATTTAGAAGTACTCGAGTCAATGAAAGGTATGTTCTCTATAGTAGGACTGTTTTCTTGTGGTGGTGTTACTATTATTTTATTAGCCCATTTGCGCGACAAATCAATAGATTTCGGTGGTTCGCGGCATGTTCTTGATTCGTTTTCAGGGTCTGACATTGCTTGCGATATAGATTCTTGCTTAAGGAATTCTACTAAACTTGCAGATGATTCATCAAATGTCCCTTGGGGGTCTAAAGTTCTTCTTCCTTTAGTTTTACTGCTAGCATCAGAGAGTGGTAGTTCAGTGTCTAGTGTAGTTTCTTCGTAATCAACTGTGACCCATGAATCAGAATCACCACTCTTGCCATGGGTTATTTTCGCTTTCTTTGAAGTTTGATCTTGATCTGAAGAACTATCTGCGTCAATATATGGGAGAAAAAGAGCGAGCATATGACTTTCATCAGAAACTTTCAAATCACTAACCTCAGTGAGGGACTCTTCTTCGCTAGGCAAACGTGATACTTCGAGTTTACGTTCAGATGATGATGAAACGAGATCATGTACGTCTTGATTACTCCTACTCTCTTGAAGTTCAGTCTGTCGCTGTTTATTGTAAATATCAATTTTACGACGTTCCATTATCACTGTCTGAGTATCATTTTCAATAACAGTATGTTGAGAACTAGTCATCCATTCTATGGAGGAATCATCCTCAGTTTTTTCTTTATAACTATTTGAAGGCGATGTATCTTTTATTTCTTTCAACATTACTTCTGGCTCTTCAGCTACAGTTGGATGGACATCTACTTTGACAACTTCTTGTTTGAAATGTTTCTCATTATCTGAAGGCAACATTGATGCAGGTGTCACATAGTTTCTGTCTAAACTCTTAGATTTTGTCTTACAATCTAAATGGGCATCCACTTTTCGATCCAAACTTTTAGATTTAGCTCCTGGGCTTATTTTTTGATACACAACCTTACCTTCAATTTGTTGTTTCATCTCTTGCTTCTTGGATAGGGTTTTAGGTGATTTTTGCAATGCAGCAAGATCATCAAATTTATCCTCCAATGATTGACTAGATTTATCATCCATGCTCTTGTTCATTTTATTATTTGTTTTCGAAGTCTTTTGATCTTCAAAACTTCTACTCATTTTGCCACCTAGTTTATTGTCCAACTTCTTAGGTGATTTAGCTATGAATACATGATCTTCAGCTTTGCTATTAATTTTAGTTTCTATAATAATTTTGTCACCTTCGGTTTTCACTAATATTTTGTCCTCTGGTGGTGGGAATGGTGGTAATGTATCTTTGACTGGACTGATAAGAGTTTTAGTCTGTTTCAAAGCAGCTTCAAAGAGTAACTGCTGTTTCTCTTTGCGTTTGGCTATTTCTGTGTCAGAATCTTCTTGAGACTTCGTTCTTTCTTTGCTACTCGACCGTTTAACATCCATTTTTTCCAATGACTTGGACTTTTCTTTCGCAATTTTCTTAGCACTTTGATCCAATTCTTGACTTTTAGCACGTGCAAGTTCTAATGGAGGTACAGTCAAGAAATCTGGGCGGTCTTTAAGTGACGAAGGCAGAGACTTTTGAGTTTGTAGAGCTTTTATTTTAGTAATATTGGTATCTACAGATCCTGCTTTGTTGAGTTTACTAGCGATTTTCTGTTTCTCATCAGGTTTAGTTTTCAAGGTCAGTTTTTTCTTCTCTTTACGTTTTATTCTTTCCATATCTGGCACTATTTGGTCTTCGCTTAAATCTGAGAGCTTCCTGATACTCCCTCTTGGAGAGTTCAAAGATGAAGTAGGCGACCTAGATGGTGATTTAGATATTGGTGACCTTGATAGTGGTGATCTACTGAGCGGTGAACGAGAAGCTTGAGAGTTTAATTTAGTTATATCGTATCTACGCTTGAAAGACCGTGGACGTCGTTGTTCTATTAAATTATCTAGTAATGCCAACTCTTCATTGTCAATAACAACAGATTTTAATTCGTCTGCCTCACCAGTGGCTTCTTCTTCTACTTCCTCGATTTTATCAATTGGATCTCTCTTAGGAGGGGACAATTTCGACTTGTCATCGATCAAAGGCTTTTCTTCTAATATTTCACCTTCTTCGTTTATATCCTCAACAGTATCATCTTTAGAAGAGAATGCATTCATAGGTGGAAGTCTATGAAGCTGTATGACAGGAGTGTCTAAACTTTTGGCTCTACGGCTAGCTGTAGGAGAATCTTGAGTAGCTTTCTGACGTTGAAGAGCAAACACAGAACCTTCGGACAAGTTTAATCTAGCGTGCGCAAATAATATCGGAGTACCACCGGGTTTCCTTAACATTGGAGATATCAGCTCATCTCTCAAACTTTTCTTTATATCAAGTTTGTTAAAATCCTTTTTGTCATCCTTGCCTTCAGTTTGGTCTTCAGATTGTATGATACCCGTTACCTTAGCTATTTCTAAATCAGCTAGATGCTCATCTTCGGATTTCAAGAACTCGGTACTCTCTAATATCGGCGAAGGAATATTTTCTTGATACTCCCAAGGTACACTATCGTGTTTTGTTTCTGGAATTTTCATAGCAACGTCGTCTTCAGAGCTCGGGATTGAAATAGAACGCTCTGAGATCCGACGCAATTCTGTAGCATTTCCGCTAAAACTATCAAGAACTTGAGGATTGTACTTTGCTTCTAGCTCAGCCAATTTTCTACACTGTGGCGGCGAACCTTCGATTTCTGTAGAACTCATAGTTTGGCCCCTATGCCACGCCCCAGATGTAATTTTGTCATATTCCAGTTGCAAAATAGGCTCTAAGTCCTTCCGCGACTGCGGGGGAGAGAATTCCAATTTAGGTGCCGCTTCTGTAGTGCCAAAAACATCATCTGAGTCTACACTCTCGTCATCAGATGAAAATGACGTAATCCTGATTTTATTATTGCTTTTACCTTTTATTTTGCTACCTGGGCCCTTTTTTCCAGAACCTCTAGCCTTTTGGCCTCTTTTTGGAAGCATTTTTTCAGACTTCAATTTTATATCTGCTCTCAATTTTTCCGCTGCAGACATAGGCTTCGGATCTTTACATACTGGAGGTTGTTGTATATTTCGGCCATTAATAGTAAACTTAATGTCATGTGAGTACAAAGGCTCTTGTCTGATACTATCAGTCTTTGAACTAGTAGCTGAATCACTTTCAATTTGGCTTAACTTAGAATTCAGAGTCTCAAGTAATATCGGGTCTAAATGTTTCGTGATATCTCTTTTAGGACTAGGTAAATGTTGTAATTGTCCGCTTTTATCGACTTCCAGAGTAACTGGGTCTACTTTGGACAAGTCGATATTTTGTGTAAATAGAAAATCACGATTTTCAACTTCTAAAAATTTTGAAGAGTGTTCCACTTGCACGCTGTTTCGGGGCGACTTTGGTGATTTCGGTGATTTTGGTGACTTTGGAGACTTCGGCGACTTTGGTGATTTAGGTGATTTTGGAGATTTAGGCGACCGTGGCGACTTCGGATGATCATGGTACTTGCACCTAGGATGCGCACTGACTACGTGACATCTTCCATTTTGTGGTGGCATCATTACTATATCCGGAGGCTGTCGCATATCATCCATTGGTGATGGAGCAGTTCCATTCATTACATGCCGCTTATGCAATACATAAGGAATATCGTAACCGTCATCAACTACCTTTTTATCTTTAAAACCGGCTTTGAACGCATCAAATTCTTGAAAATAGTTTTTAGGTAGATCGAATGGAGGTCTAACATGATCCGGCACCCTCGAAGGCAATTCAAAGTGAGATCGTTTAGTAGCAATGGGAGGCGCACTCGGTATTTGACGAAACATGTAATCCTCGTCGCTCGACTCTGCTGGAGTCAAGTCAATAGATTTTTGGTGCATAAGAACATGTCTACGAGAATTAACGCTGCTGAACCGGGGTCGGTTAGCCAAACTATTAGGATCACTTTTAGTACGTTCTACAGTCGGATGGGTGTAAGGGACATTACTGTCCGTTAAACGGCTGCTAGAGCTCGTCTCGTGAATGAGCTTCGGATTGTATTCGTCAAAGTGAGTTTTAGCCATTAATTCTTCTTTCAAGTTTTCTTTTCGGACAATATGAGTATGAACCTTACCCCGTTTGTCAAATTCTGATTGCAGAATCGACACAGTGTCAATAGCCATTAAGGCTGCTTTAGCTTTATTCTTAGCATACTCAATACTATCCATTGTCGGCAAAATCCTTACATTGACGTCAGATTCATTAGAGGATTCCTTAATGAGATGAGATGGCGGCGCATTTTCCTTACTGATAGATCTCGTCAAGGATTCTATTTTCTCTTTATCGAAACTAAATACGGTATCAGATGACCTACGTCGTTGATAGCTATGTATTTTAGCAGACCTGCTGTTATCAATTTCTGTATCGAGGCCGACTATTTTCTCAGGCCAAATATGTGTCGTTTGAGGATGAATATCGTCTTCCTCCGTCGAAAGTTCATCACCTTTCTTCGGGGGACTCAAGTCAGAGAATTCACCACCATACTGTTCCAGTTCAACATTTTGCAAACTAGCAGAGTGCATTGGACTCGGTTCTTTGTGGTGTTTACTATTACTAGGGAAAGTTGAGTACGGAGTCGAGATATGATAGAAATTGGGAGAATTTGCCAAATTGGCGATTAAGTCTTCATGAGACTTATCAAATAATGTCTTCTCCATATATTCGGGCTTCTCCATACCGATGAAGGTGGGTTGTGTATCAAAGAAATCTTTACCTGAATCCGGACTAGAAGGGGAAATGGGTTCAAAGGGATCTATGTAAGCATTCTGTATACTAGTAATACTACGACGTCTTATGCTGATGTCGTCGGGTTCGTACAAGTTTCTTTTACAATCGTAATAATCTGACTTGGAATCTTGGCTGGAGGTTCGCGACCCAGATCTGTCAGAACTCTTGCTCTTTAGCGTTTCGCGAGATTTTTTACTATCGGTATGATAAACGCTGTCACGAGATTTCTTACTGGATTCAGCGCTACTTTTAGAATGTTTAGAATCATAAATTTCGCTTTTGGATTCTTGGCTGGAAGTACGCGAACCGAGGGCCCGCTTGATTTCTTTATAAAAATTGCCATCCGAACGAACTGAAAGTTTCTCTCGAGGTAACACACGCGGATCGTCCACAAGAAAGGGATCTAAGGGAATGTCGTTATTGCTGCGGTAAAGCACGACCGGTTCGTCTAACTCATGCTCCCGGTCGTCACTCTCGGACAAGTGAGAAAGGGATCGGTCATCGTCAGATGGAAGGTCGTTGCCCGAATCCAACGAGCACGATCGCGTATGCGCTCGGCCCTGCGGAACGGCCCGCGCGTATCGCCGCTCCGACTCGTCGTCCGACCGCTCTATTAGTTCGTAACTATCGTGCGAAATGTCGTCCTGAGAACCCGTGCGAGCGAACGGTACATCTAGGCGAGGCTCGCCGATCGCGCCGGGGAACGAGGACGAGTAAGCTCGTCCGAGCAACGCCCGGGCGGACTCTAAGGAATCGCGATCGCCGAACACGAACGCTCTCATGCGAGCTTCGTCGTACCGTGTGACGGGAGAATCGAGACGCGAGAGCGCATCGAGGTCCGCGAGCATGGAGCGAGCGTCGCGCCGACGCTTGGCGCGGCCGGCCGAGTCGAAGCTGTAGTCGCGCAGGTTGCGACACGACGCGCTGCGCCGCCAGCCGCGGGCGCGCGCCGCGCCCGTCGACCGCGTGTCCGAGCGCTCCGAGCACTGCTCCGCGGGCAGCGAGCCGCCCGATCGCGACGAGCGCGTCGACGGGCACGCCGAGTAAATGTTGCTCTGAGATAGCTCGTACTCGAGGCGCTCGGATGACTTCTTAAAGCTCGAGGAATGCTTCGCCAGTACGAAGTCCGGGTAACCGCTAGAGGCGGCGGGGTGGGGCGCGGGGGAGTCGGGCGGGCTCTGACCTGCGGGGCGCGGCGCACGAGGCGGCGGAGTGGGCGCGCGGCCGCGACCACTCGCACGGGGGCAGCTCGCCTGGCTCCATGTACTCTCCGGAGAAACCTGCGACGGATAACGACGGTTTACATACTGCTACTGCATACCAGGCCACACCGGTCACTAATAATATTAGAAAAAGAGAACACCATCTCATTTAACGGTCTGCATCATCAATAATGCGAGTGGTTCTAAAATACAATGAAAGTAAAAAAAAAACTACTTTATGTATTCCCTCTACATTCAGGCGTTCGATTGACATTGACCACAGATACAGTACAGGAAAACATTCAAAGAGATGAAAAAGCAACAAACCAATTGTGTCGTCGTCCGATGAGGCAGAGGTGAATCCACCAAATCCGGATGATGATTGACCTCGGCATGAGTCACCAGCTCGGGGGGCTAAAACACGGAATATACTATTAATTATAATTACTTTTAAAACCATTCGTTCTGCGTATACTATAGCGTAGTAAAGTGAGCTTTCAGTTCGAGATACACAAGCAAATTCCTTCAAATCACGTACGTTCTATAAAAACTGTAATAATTTTAGTTTTTACCATAATTATTTTTAGACTGATTTTTGTTTTATTAATGTCATCTGCCATTAAGAACATTGAATGAATTACAACAGTCAAACATGATGTTATGCGTAACGTTACAAATCTGAAAGCTCAACATGAGACCTACACTATAATATGAACCTTTGTGCTTTTGATTAATATCGACTCTGTAGTTGACATTTCGAAATTCTAACAACAGAATCGATGTAAATATTGCATATCTGTGAATGGATGCCCGTGACGTGCGTGCGTGACGAAAAAGATGTGAGATGACCCAATATGTGCATCAAACATGGCATTCAATAACCTTATCCCACAAAATATTAAAAATGTTTCATTTTCTTTTATAAAAAGGTTCACATTACATTTAACACTATATTATTATTTCCACGCTTTATTGCCCTCCCGACCACATTTTAAATGTAATGTGTAACCTTCAACGTTAATAATTTGACATATGAAAAAAATACAATATCATTGGACATCACATTCTGTGCGCACATATGGATTAGATATTGAAAATATTAAACGAAATCCATGGTCGCTAAACCATATGTTTTCAGTTCTAGTTAGGTTACACATGAACCACACATAAGTCTATCTATTCCTAAAAGATATTTCAAACAAAATAATCCGTTTTAAACCAACAACTCTATTAAATACATAATTATTTTCTATTACATCAGTAAAAACTTTTACAAATCTTGATCAAAGACTCATCAATCAAAGGATTTTTAGCCTAGGTTATGCATACGAAAACTGTGCCAGCGTCTTATTAATATTATCTCTTATTTTTACAGTTCTTCAAATCCATACGCTTAATCTCATCTTTGATTTTCGGAACTGTTAAAGACATTTATAAAATTAACATTTCTGGACATATGCCTCCCTCATTAAAAGACCAGTTGAGACTGGCAGCTGCCGGAAATGTCTAACGTGTAACCAAAATAGAACAAGTGCACGGTACATTATCATTGGATATTTCTCATATGTTTATTAAAATAAGAAAGAAAGAGAATTGGTAATTAAAACGTACTGGCAATTTGCAAAGGGAAATTGTTTTACATATATCTCAATCTTTCTCTTGATTACAAATTGAATAAAAATGAGAGAGGGCCAATCCTAAAATGATATGCGACGAAGACTGTTAGAATGAAACATTCAGTTTAGATACAATATAATTAAAGCCAATTGAAGGACCCTTACGATTTGATCGCAGTACAGTTTTGTCAGCTGAAATAAACAAATACAAATTCTATTGAAGTGAAAATAAAATACGAGCATACAAAGATTAAAAGCATAGATAATCTATTGATAGATGAAATAATTTTGGTGAATATTGTGTATTTTGATTAATTATTTCATAATAAACACTTGCAAGTTTTGCGGACGACGCCACGTTCCGCTTACATTACTTAAAAAACTTATACGTAGAACAATTGATATGTTTCGGGCTATTAGTGGGCATGTGAAATATAAAACATGGATAATCGCAGCACCGACGAGGGCGGTGTGCGAAAGAGCTGACTGCATTTGAACAGCAGATCAGCCGCCTCTGCAAGCAGTCACCGACTTGAAAACGCCTAGGCTTCAACGAAAAACTATTACGAGTATAATATTGAACTAGGTGTGCGCGAGAGGCGAAGTGTGACGTACCTTGTCTCTCGTGGCGGCATAGGCGGTAGCTGCGAGCGGCGGGCGAGCGGCGGCCGCCGGGCGCCTCTCCCGCCCCGCCGCCGCCCGCGCCTCCTCCGCACTGTAGCCCTTCATCATCAGAGAAGCCTCCAGGTAGTGAGGTTGCTTGTCCCACTCCAGGGAAATCGCTGCAAAGTCAACGCACCCTTAATCGTGAACGACGGAGAGAATTAAGGTCAGTCGGGTCAGGTCGTTAAGCGAGCTCGGACGCGTGCGGTTTTAAAAGTATGACACTCGTGTACGGACCCGTTCGAGGTATATTTCTTAGCAAAGCTGTATGGCTCGTCTTAATCGGTGAGAGGCAAATATAAAGTATATAAGAATTAAAACTGATCGCAAAAAGAGAAGTATGAAAATAAATTTGTTAGATTATTTTCTTGGCAAAAAGTGAATTCATTTCGTCGACATGTGAGTGGGGGAGATACGAGCGGGCAGTACGTACCGTCGGAGCCGGGCGGCAGCGGCAGCAGCGGGTGCGCGGAGAGCGAGGCGCCGAGCGGCGGCGGCGGCGCCACGTTGGCGCGCGACCCGCACACCGAGCGCGACGCGCGGAACGACCCCGACCTGCCGACATCGGGCAGAGGATGGTGACACACCAGCTTTTGATTTCGTCCCGATCGTGCGCCCTACGGGGACGTGGCCGCGGACGGCTAAACTTTGCGGATGCCACGTGTGAGAAGACTCCCGACCGACATACTTGCACGACGCGGGATTCGAACGACGATCGGTCAAACGAGAACTTGTAACCTTACAAACGAATACCTTGCGATGCAATGAAAGAAGGCGATTTGTGCCTTATTGAACTCGATCGATTTGAGTGCTTAAGTACATTAGTTTTAAACGACAGTGGACGTGGTAGGCATCTTACAAGTTTATTCATCTGAGGCCATATCACACCGGACCGGATCATAACGCAAAACTTGCAATGTAATATTTGCAGTGAGACTGTGGCGGACTAGAATTTTATTATGGAAAAAAAACATTTTTATTTGTCCCGAATTTTGAAATAATATATAGAATTCAAAAATTTAAGTACCAATTTTAAGTATGTGTGAAATAATAAGGAAGTACAGACGCGTATATATATAGATACAAATCTATACGTGTTTGCGATAGTTCTCGTCCCGGTGCTCGCAAGCTTGTACTTGGGCCTGCTCTCCTCAACATTCCCCGTGCCAGTACGTAAGCGGGCAGAGGCCGACTATATACTAAGTGTCCATCTTAACAGCTAATACGTGTAAGTACATTTATTTAATACGTGCTGTCAACGTAATAATACGGTTACAAATGAAAATTCAAATTTAAAAAATGCAGTGTCAATTTATTAACGAATTCTAAAAATACATAAACAGTGAATTAAAAATGTAATGTATGACGTATACGCGACACCAGTTCGGAGCATGAAGAACAATGAGAGCGCAGACCCTTAAGTAGGAGCACTAGTTCGTTAAGACAGACCGTCAACACCATCCTCCGACCGATAGTCACAGTGGCGTCGCAACGCAACGCACTCTCCAACTACACCATCACACTCTCTTTTATTTGGAAGAAGCGGAAATTTCAACGGATACAGCGCATGCTCCATATTATGCTAATCACCATCGATAAATATACAAACTATGTCGAAGCTTCACTCTAACCATGTCGTTTTAAAATTAGTCGATTTTAGGGACTCTTTTACAGTTACGTCATGCAAAACCTAATCGTTACCGAGTCGTTCGCGCTGTCACACAAAGACAAGACAAGATCAAAAGCTAGTGTCTCCCAACCCATGCTAACCACTCACCTTGGTGTATTACGCTAGAGTTAACTTATGTTAATCGTCTATATTAAGAACACGAACCCAAAACATGTACCATGTACCTGCACAACAAAAGTACACTGTACCAAGGCCTACATTACATCTATAAGCATTTAACTATGTTATATATATATATATTTAGAAAGCTATTCAATGTACCTGAAGCTTTAGTTGTTAAATAATATATTGTAAACATGCAATTTTGTACGAGATAAAGTTGAAACCGTAAAAAAGTGTAAATTTAATTCTAGTTGAAATATATATTATAATAATTGAACACTAAACCCAAGGCAAAAACAGGCAGATCTCTCGATGATCAGTGTGGTTAAGTAGGTATTAGATGAAACCTCACCTGCCTGTTACTACAAGGCTACCAGGCAAAACCTCTAAGACCTACTCGCAATATAGGAATTTCCCTTAAATACATATAATCTATCCCGAATTACCTGTGATGTAAAACGGTTCACTAGCGACATCACTTCACCGTTGGCAAAATAGCAACCCGTAGAGGTTTCTACACATTACAAAACAGCCTAGTAGTATAGTCGGTGGATCAGTCGGTACTTTACTCGAATCGCGCTGTTATGACCTTTTTACTAATGAATAGTGGGCGTTATTTACGAATGTCTACCTTATTTCTGATGTATGTATTATTGAACTTTGGGCAAATAATCAAACATTGGTATCAATTTTATCTCGTGACTTTTGATAATCTACACAGCTGCAGTGTATAATAGTAGCTAAGCTTACATATAGATACAATTGTATTGTAATGGGAACTAACCTTTGGAATGTTTGACGTTTCACATAGTTGTCCCGTACGTACTCCACAATCTGTTTCTGCGTTTTACCGCTATACCTGTACAAAATTAAAGTTTATAGCTTTAATATAAACAAAACTTATTGTGCAGAATTAATTTAATCCACAAACTAGTCAATTAATGTCAATGAACTATTCAAAATTGGCTGAAAACTAAATTGTAATGAAATAAGAGTTTCAAAACACCTAAAAATACATTTGTATTATGATAATTTATTAAATATATGTATTTCTAGAAAGTTTATTAATACATCGTAATTTGTGATAAATTAGCATCACTACTTTAATTTATAAAAAAAGAAATGAATTTTTTTTTCAACCCTTCGATTTTTACCTCTAAACGTCCTCTAATTTTAATAGATATTTACTTTTTAAGTCTTGGGCGGCCTCAATTCTGCTATTTTTTATTAACGCCACTTTCATTAAATTGATAAGCTATTGAGATGTTACTGACATCGGTAAAAATATCGGTATTCTACTAACATAAATTCACAGTCCATAGACTGTCGATATAATAATATAGGTCATCAATGGTGATTTCAACAACATTGCCATATCATGAAAATTATATATATCATTTTCTTACAAATTTAAAATGTACCGTTTACCAAACTATTACGAAGACATCGACGTCATTTGTATCTGTGACAAGTCATCAGGCCATTGGTCTTACATAGACAGTAGAATAAGAAAAGTGCAAAACTATTTCTACGTTATTCCAGCGACAGTCTATTGATACAATATTAAAATAGCAGAATTGAAGCCCGGTTTTGAAATTAATGGCAACTTTAACTAAAATCGAATGGCCTGTGTCCTTCTTGGAACTTTTCTCCATAGCATCTCCCTATTCATTCTATTCATTACCCCCCCCCCCCCCCCCCCCCCCTCCAACCAGTATAAACACTATATCGGTATTTCAACTTTTATTATCAGTAAGTGGAACAAAATCAATATTGGGGTAACTCATTAATATGCAGAGAAATATATGCCATTTCACCTGATTGTGAAGAGGAAATGTAATCATTAAAAATATCTAGTTATGCAATACGACGTTACTTACCTAAAGGATGAACCTCTTGAGATAACTCTAGTTTTAAGTCTCGGCTGGCGCTGCACGCTCGAACAACGGAAGAAGCCATGATTCTCGACACACTTCTTCCAGAAATTCTTGCATTCGTTGCGACCATCGAAGAAGAATTCTACCACGTCGCGGTAGTAGCCCTGAAGGGGACATAATAATATCTCTGTCAAGTATAATTAGGATTTTTAGTTTAGTCTTTTTAGTATTTTTAGTGGATTTAATATTTTGAAATTTCTGGTAATAATACTGTCATTAAAATTAATAACAACTTAATTTTTTTTGTCAAACCTAATGCTTTTGTTGTGTGCCAGGATTAATAGGGGGCGGGGGGATTAATAGGGCAACGCACGTGAAGTGTCCATGGGCGGCGGTGCTCACTTACCATCAGGCGGCCGGTTTGCTCGTTTGCCCTACTACCCTCTACACCAACAGGGTCTTCTAAATAAACATAGTGAAAATATGCATATTGCATTACCGTTATAGGCAGTCTCGTTGTAGCATGAAATTGTAACGTGTCTCAATTATTGTAGAAAATAATTCTAGTAATTAAAACCATCGAATAATTAAACATCCTATTTGTAATGTTTTTTAAGTAGCTAAAGGTTAAATTACATTACCGTAAACCATATTGTACAGTGGGATCGCTGGTACAATTGAAGATGCGGTGCCTACTAGGAAAAGAATTAGAAAGACGATGCGGTTGTACTGTAAGCGAGGAGCTATATTAGGTAGACATGGAACGGAAGATGTATAACGGGAAATATGAATGAGTTTATTTCAGATTTGAGATTCTGATTATTGCCTGATAATCAGAATCTCAAATCTGAACTGGTTTTCAGTGTAATTAGTTCCAATTGTTATCCCCTTCATGCCCTGGACGAATACTCTAATAAACCAGAGGAGCAGACCCAATTTCTACAATATAACTTTGAGCTTAAATCACATTAACAGCCTTAAATAGTCTACTGGTGTACATAGGCCTCTTCTTAAAAGGAAGTTTTGGTCTACTATACCATGCCGGCCAGAGTTGTTGGTATAGGGTTTGTGGCAAGTTTTCCTTCTCTGTGCAATACTGTTGTCCTGCGTAGTTTGCTTCCTCGGTCGGCTCTTACGACACCCAAGGAATGAATAGGGATGGTGAAACTCCGAATTCTTAATTCGTCCTCACTAATATAATTTTACTTTATGATTTAACTTACATAACCCTCTGGATGCAGTTTAATTAGAAACTTTTTCCTCTTGAACGATATTTTGCGTATCTTAGCCCAACTGAAGGTGTTTATCTTCGTATAATTCTGGAACACTATGATTCCCATGTGCGCTACTGCGAGGTTTAAAGATACACCTTCGTGATCTTTGGCTGGGTGCATTTTTATACCTGAAAATGTAAAAAACGTTTTTTAGTGTGATAAACGGTAAGAAAAAATAAGAAATTTATATTATGAATAGAATGCGAAAAATCATTTTCCTTAACTGCTCTATGCTAACGAATTTTGATTATTTATATAAAACTATTTCATTTTCACTTCCTCGTCGTTAGGTTAAACGTATTTGATGACTTACTATCTTTTAAGGTATATAACTGAAAAAGTATAATGTAATCGGAACCTATAGGAGATGTTGCCCTGTCTCTTCTAGAGATTCTGATTTCTTTTGATGCTAATCTATTGTCAACTCTATTATCTTCTATTAACAAGTTAGACTTTCACTTACCATATAACTCACATCTCCGTGCAGTTTCTAATAAATTTAAATCTGCCTCCGCAGGACTTTGGCCACTGCAAAAAAAAATTAACAATACATTAAAATTAAAATATTTATACTAACGTACGTACTGTTACCATTTTTTTTCTAGTATTTGACTTTAGATTATCTTTAAATACTGAAGTTTGACTACTGAAGTCTCGATTATTAATATCTATGTTGTTAGGTTTAATTTAAATTTAAGAATAAATTACACTAGAATAATTTCTTTTATCTATACAAATAAATAAAATTGGAGTGTCTGTTTGTAATATTAAAATAACCGCTTTTTACTAAATGCATATGTATGTTTACACGGTACATATGCCAAAATATATTTTTTTTAATTTTTGTCTGTCTGCCTGTCTGTTTGTTCCGGGTAATCTCTGGAACGGCTGGACCGATTTCGACGGGACTTTCACTGGCAGATAGCTGATGACATAAGGAGTAACTTAGGCTACTCTTTTTAGACTAGCTTCGCCCCGCGGCGTTGCCGGCCAGAGTTGTTGGTATAGTGTTTGTGTCAAGTTTTCCTTCTCCTTGCAGTGCTGTTGTCCTGCATAGTCTGCTCCTTTAGTCGGCTCTTACGACACCCACAGAAGGGGTGGGATGACACTGTATTCTTAATCCGTCACCACACGGACAGCTTCACATTAGACTGTTGATAATAAGAATCCAGTAGCTCCCCCTGAATGCTCCGAATAAGGGTTACGCCGTGTCCATATAAATAAATCTCGTAACAGTTCGGAGAATGTCCAGCCTAATCACATTAATCCCACTAGGGGATTTCGGCTAAACTAAATATAGAAACGTCGGATGTAATATAATATATATAAAGTACTGAACAAAAGTGAAAGCGAATATTCGTTTTACATATTCTAAAATGTATGGTTTAGGGTAACTGGTTACTAGAATTTTGAACGAAGAGAGCGCTGGTCAACAAGTCAAACTCATCACTAGGCGAAATTCTAATACGTGTGCGATTTATATGTAATAGCTCATACCCAATGAAATATTTAATATTTAGAACACACTTTTATAAGATTGATTTGTTATTAAGTAATAATGTAGACAAATCTTACAATTCAATTTAGATCTTCTATCTACATAATATATATTGTCGTATCGAAATGAAACTTAGTATGTATATTCTGGATATACTATGTAGTTTGAATGACAATACTATATTTCGCTTGGAGTTCGTCTGATGATGGATTTATCTCGTAAATAGTGAAACTCTTTAACGGCCGCTAGTAAATCTCTCGAGTTTCCTCTATATGATTCCTTTTGACGAGTCGAATAGATTCAGTTTGATAACGATGGTCAGACGATAAAGCCTGGAGATATATCAGCAGTTTGGTTACCTTAGCACAGGCTCTGCCTAGTTTGGAATCTGACGACACTGTGTTAGATGTGTGAAATATATATATATACTAGCTGAGCCGGCAAACGTTTTTTGCCATATACATTATTTCCAGAAAATATAAAAAAAAAATAGGGTTGAGATTTTTTTATAGATGTATGATGTAATAGGTGGGAATCAAACCACTTGGGGGGTGCCTCCCGCTGCGGGGCTCTACTCAGAGGCCTGCAGCGATTGATGGCCTATCGTACGATCTCGTTTGAGGCGGCGACGGTTCTGGCGCGATATCCACCCTTCGACATTTTGACAGACATGGACGCGATGGTCTATGACCAAGTTCGCTCTGTCGGTCGGAATGGTGTGGGGCCGCGCCAGACCATGATCCCGGAATGCTAAGGTGGAACGCGCATACGCAGGCACTGCGGACCTGGCAGGCACGGCTCGCAATCCAGGGCTGTGCTAGCCAACGCGCCGTCGGAGCCGTTCTGCCGAGCTTCGAAGCGGGGGTAGGAAGGAACGACAGTGTCACCTACCGATTGACTCAGATGCTCACCGGGCACGGTTGCTTAGGTGAGTATCTGAATCGAATTGGACGGGAGGTCACGGCACAATGCCACCATTGCGGGTCCGACCGGGACTCCGCCCAGCACACGCTGGAGGACTGCCCTGCGTGGGAGTCCGAACGTCAAGTCTTGGTCGGACAGATCGGACGAAACCTGTCACCACCAGCATTGCAATGCTGGCTAGAATCAAACCTCGGGCCGCACAGTTACGACTACTTACTAATAGATCAATAGGCACATCATTTATGGCGTTAATAAATGTACTTACAGATGTTTCTTATGATTTTCCATGATACGACGTTCGGACTCAGAATCCTGTCCGGGGAAGAATTTATAGCCACTGAGGTATGTGTGATCTGGGTAGTCTTCAGGAACAAAATCACCACACTCTGCTGTAAAACATACTTATAAATTAACATATTATCAAAACACCAGCACTTAACTATTACTGTTATTTATTTTTAACACCAGATTATATGGTAGCTAAGCGATCACTTCCATACTACTTTACACTAACTTATTGTTATTATACTTATCATTAAATATTCAGAAATTACTAAATTAAATTAATGACTTATTGTAAAAAATAAATTTAGTACAGAAGGCCAATTCTCGTAATTCAGTAAAGTTGAAGTAGAATCACAATAATAAAAAGGTAGAGTCACAATTCAGTTCCAATCAACTCTCGATCTCGCAACTGTCATTAAAGGTATTTTCGTAGTAAAAGCATAACTAAGACTAGCAGATTACCAATTTAATTTTCGGTTACAATGCGATATAGTCACATTACAGTCAACGCTGGATGTTTACTACTTTACTAGTTACGTTTAGTTTACGTTAGTTACGAAAAATACCTTACTTTTTTTACAAGAATTGGCCTTCAGGTATTTCTGCATTTATTAAATAGTATATATAATAATAGGGGTAAAGTATGAAATTGCCGTTGTATAGTAATAGACACTTTGAATTGACATAAAAACTTCATGGTATGAGATTTTCGTGTGAAACTTTTTTTTTAAATATCTATAAGTTGTTCTTTCAAAAAATGCTCAATATTCGATTTTCTTCTTTCAATTCTTTATTTATTTAAATAAGACAACTCCCACATTAGGAATAAATTCTGTATGAAAATCCTGAATAAAACCGGGCACAAAGGACACCCATACTCAGAACAACAATTTGTGGATCATACAAAAGGTTGTTCCATATGGGGATCGAACCCACAACTCAACTTAGTAGGAAGCGGCGAGGTGACCGCTTAAACCACTACGCCATCCATGCAGTCATTTGTTTTTTTATTCAGCCATCTTTGAATACGAGTTACGACGCGGAACTAACGCGCTAGAAATGGCTCGAAATATCAACGCTGCGTTTGAAGAGGAGACTGCTAATGAACACACCGTGCGTTTTTTGTTTAAACGCTTTCGTAATGGAAACTTGAACGAGAAGAATGTACCACGTAGAAGACCGCCCACAAAGGCGAATAACGCTGAATTTAAGGAGATGTTGCATCATATTAATAAGATAAAAAAATATGAAAATGTTTGCCTCATGATTTGACTGATCTTCAGAATTTTTTTCGTGATTTGGACAATTTTTTACGTGATAAAAAAAACTACCCAGGAGGCAGTACCCAATGCTTTCACACAGTTTGTCGAATCTAGATCCCTAGAGTTCTATCGTAAAAGCATAAATGAACTTTGGTTTAGATGGCAGCAATGCATAGATAATGAGGATAAATATTTTGATTAAATAAATATGTTACATCTTAGAAAAAAATGAGTTTCAATTTTTCTGTATCAATCGGCAATTTCATACTTTAACCCCTAATATTATGCAAACATACCAGTTTCAAATTAGTCAAAAAAATATTACACAAGGATTTATAAATATTTACCTACTCTTAATCATTCTGAATACAAAAAAATGCTAAATATTTACACATGTCACTGTAGTATTATGTAGTTTCCTTTGGGCTTATGTTAAAAGATTATGATCCAGACATGTTGACTGTGAGTCACTTAACAAATAAGAACTGATATTGTAAATTTTAATGTAGCTCGTGGTAACAGCGTTTCGCTTCATACGACCGAATTACAGAAGAACAAAGAACGATTAATTAGCAAGGAAGCGGCCGGCCATAAAAGAAAGAGCTAAAACCATTTTTGCAAAACTAAGAAGTGCGTGAAGGAGGATAACGAGTGATCAAGGTGAACAGAACAAGACTTTGTGTATTACTACTTTAAGCAACACATCTTCATGAATGTTACACATACAAAGTACGTTAGTACAGAAAATTGTGTCCAGATAAAAAATTTAGAAGGATAAAAAGCTAGTGTCTGGCCGCAAATCTTTTTACTTTTACTTTTGTTTTCTTTTTTATCGACTTGGTTAAGACACTATGCTCTCAGAACAGTAAGGCGTTCGTCGTTCCCGTTAAATTTCAGCACGCGTGCACTTGCATAATGCAGTTATGTCACACGTCACGTCCAAATACATAATTTTAAAAGCTAAGCTTGAATATACAATGCATTGTATTTAATCCAGAGATGTCCATCCATAAAAGAAGATAGAACAAATTGCTTCTATCGAAAGATTATTAAATGACGATTTAGTAGACAGTGATAACTAATAAGCTAGGTAAAATGTCGTTTCATCATCATCATCATCATCATCAACAGCCTTTAATAGTCCACTGCTGGACATAAGCCTCTCCTGAGAAAGGAGGTTTGAAATGTCGTTTAGCAATAATAATAATAACTTGACACATCTCACCAGACACACACACACACACACATCTCAAGTCAACTATACCTATATTGTTTTCTTATCTTTCTAAAGGTAAACGTAACTTTAAGTGTATTAGACCGTGGTTTATGTCGCACTTAAACCAACTTTTTAAACATTATTTTTTATCCCTTAGGAATATTCTACCCTTAAAATACCCTTTTCCTTTTATGTACTCCTGACAACGTGTTTGCATAATAATTGATCGGTTGAGTTGTTAAGACGTAAAAGCGTAAAAAATTAACTCACATTTATAAATAACAAATTTGGCTAAAACATTTTGATGATAGGCTAGAAATCGTATAGGTGGTAAAAATTTCTTACCTTGTACAATGTAGCTGGCCATGAGCGCTGCTGTGTTCTCATTACATTGTATGCATCCAGTAGCAAGGTCCTTCTTCACTTGCAAACAAAACAGGTAACGTGTGAACTCCTCCTCTAACCGTGCAGGGTCTGAAGTGTAGAACTTCACACAGAACCGGAGCGTTGGCTCCAGCATTGAAAGGCCCACTTGCCGGCACATAGGCTTCTCGATATCCAACCAATACTGTTGAAATAAATTTATTGCTAGCAAAACAAACAAATTTACATCGCCTATGAACTTTAGTCAGATAGTCATGCACCGACTAAAAAGAGAAATTTTATTAAAGCAAAGAAAAAAGCTTATTAACAAAGTGTAAAACTTTCTTCCGATGAAATTTTTAGTTTTACATTTTTATGTGACCTGGGATATGGCTCTTTGTAAAGACAATAATATTTTCATTATGTTTAGAACTAAAGACGATATCGACAAAAACACCAACAGAAATATCTTTTAAACTTTCGCGTTCCATGATAATTAATATTATTTAACGGGAATTAACGCGATCTCTTATTTAGGGTATTACATACCTCTGGTTTGCAGCCTTCTGGTTTGCAGCCGGCCAGGTCAGCCTGTGACCACGGCCGGTGCAACCTGGTCGAAACGTCAGGCAAACCAGAGGTATGTAATACCCTAAATAAGAGATCGCGTTAATTCCCGTTAAATAATATTAATTACCAACAGAAATATATTGCCAAATTGATTAATTGTTGGCGCAGACATGAGCGGGCGGCGGCACGCCGCGCAACCCTATTTTCTGGATGGATGTCTACCCCAACCTTAAATATGCCTCCGTCAGCAAGCATCCACGCGGTCATACGCGGCATTCAATTACAACCACACTAGAAAGGGTCTTGGTTTTTAAGGGTTCACAATGTTCTCATAAAGACGTATCTATCTCTATAACTATCAACCGACAACTCGAAATTACGTGTCCGAATCGATAGACATTGTGACTACATAAAAAAAATGTATTTGACGTTACTACGGTACTAAGCAGCCAAAAAAATTGCTACAAAAGATACCTACCCATACCTTTGCGCCGTTCCCATCTTGATACTCCAGTCCGAAATAATCGGCTTCCAACAAATGTAGCTGCCGACATACTTGATCGAATAGCACCTTCCCTAGTGCCTTCGACTGAAACAAACGAACGGTCATAAATTAACGTATTTTATGGTAAACCAAATTCAGCAGTTTTCGATGTGGTGATGGATTAAGAATAAGGAGTGTCACGACCTATTCATCTCGCCAATGTCGTAAGAGCCGACTAAGGGAACTAAGTACGTATGACAACAGCACTGCAAAGCGAAAGAATACTTGACACAAACCAACCCGTCAGGTCAACGTGGTATAGTAGGCCAAAACATCTTTTCTAAAGAGAGGCCTACTCGTATGTCCTAGACTAGGGAAAAGAATATAAAAAAACATGACTCTGCCACACTGCACGGCGCATTACGTGAAGTTTGAACGTGGAAATTTCATAGAGGAAGGGCATGTTACATTCCCCCTTGCACAAGAATAAGTTATGTGTTTAAATCAATATTAGTAACATTGATACGTGTATCGGGTTTTGTGGTACTCCACTAGTAACAGTAACTTGATGTATTAAGTTACCTTTATTAATCAATAAGGTAAAATCTAACACATTAGAACTTTAATGCAACTTAATCTTATCACTGTACCCGTACGATGGCGTAGTGGTTTAAGCGGTCGCATCCCGGGTCCGATCCCCACATGGGACGTCACTTTGTGTGATCCACAAATTGTTATTCTGAGTCTGGGTGTTCTTTGTGTCCGTTTCCGTTTCCATCATGTATGTTTGTAAAGTCCCCCGCGACACAGGATATATTCCTAATGCGGGAGTTGTCTTTTTTTTAAACAAAAAAAAAGATGTGTAACCAATCAGAAAAAAAATAATTAATACGCTTTTTAAAGATTGGAAAGCATGCAGTCGCATCAAAAAACAACTCGTTTCAGGAAATTCAGAAAAACCATCAAGTTTCTTACGTTGAAACAATCGTGATACGATGTGCTTTCATTCATGATTCCTTGTATTATTTTAAAACGCATTAATATAAAGTTTCAAGAGGCATAAGTATCTGTATACTAGTAGACAATATAATTATAAGTACCCATATTTGAGTAAAAAAGAACTTTTAGCTACTGAACATTTCATTTTTTACGACCCATTTACTATGAGTTTATGATATCACTTAGAATCTTGTAAGAAGGTAGATATTGGTTAAGCGCCTTGCTATATCTCAGTCAAAATGAACATTTATCTAAATTTCAATTATTAAATCAATTTATAAAAATGTTAAGTTGGTTTGTGCACACTTCAAAAACTCAGTTCTTCACGCATTGCGCTCAAATTTTAATGTGAATTACCAACTCTATTTTTGGCGTCAATTTTGCTACCCATTTCACACCAATATGGCAACGTGGCAGGGTACAGTTATAATTATATATTTCCAGTTATTTAATTCATCAGGATAAGATTAGGTCAGACCTCGTACTTGAATTATTTATAACAAGCAAACACATTGTATGTATGGAAACTTGATGCTTGCGTAGACAGACAAGATATTTTTAGACAATGATGAGACTGACGGATTAAACCTAAAAAAAACCAAATGATTACGCAATTTCAATGCAAGCCATTTTTTTTTATTATTTTACAATAACTAATTGAAGAGAACGAAAATAATCGTTTTAGATAACAGTCTGCTATCAGGTGTACGATGTGGATGTTTAAGTTTAAAAAAATAATTGCATAGAAAAGAAGTTCTAGGACGTTGTGTCATCGCAGATTTCTTATGGACGATATTACGAACTATTTACAACTGAAATCAATTTCTACCTCTAACAAATATTTATAAGGGAGGGCTTATCGCCGCGCGTTACATTAAAAAGCCTCCAATAGAGTGAATTGGGGGATTTTATTAGCAATACGGGACTAGTACACATAAACCGGTTTAGAAACTTGCCATAAATCGAGGAATGTGGCGCAATTTTATGGCAACTACTTTCCTATATCGTCTGTCCTCTTTAATTTTTAGTTACGAAAAGGAACAATATTTATCTCAAAACATTAAGCAAGCCATTCTTGTAAATAATTGTCTATATGGAAAACAGATATAACAATTTATAACTCATTTGGTGTTTATATACCTAATGTTTTGCTTTTTAAGTGTTCTTTATAGGTTATCTTTCTTTAGGAATATGTGATTTTATATAAAAAGCAAGTCTAGATAGCCCAGAGGTATTTATTAATACCAATAATAACTAATAATAAAATTAAGAGTTTGTTTTTTGGTTGAAAGGAGTTGGAGTAAAAAAATTAACTTGTTATGATAAGTATGAGAATCCAGAGAAGAGTGAATTAAGAAATCATTAAAAAAGTGATAACTTGGCATAGTGCCGTCGATGAGTGCATACCTCATATCTTTACAAGTGGGTCCTATCCTAGGTATTGTAATAGTTTGATTTAATGTAATCAATAAGCGAAACTTGGCCTTCATATATATTGTATATTGTGTACATTCACGGCATCGTATTAAAATATTTTTGAACCTACCAAACAGCAATGACCAGCATTATTAGCATTTGCTTTTCTTTATTGTTGTTATCTGTCATTTAGTTACAAGAACAATAATTATAACTTATGACGCCATCAACGATATCAAAAAAAAAAAAGGTGGTGTGAACAGGTTTCGATACAGGGCTCAATCCAAATATTATTGGGTTTATCTGTATTCTATTCAAATTATCTTTATTTTTAAAATTGTTTGAAATCGTTTTTATATAGACTCTAAAGTGGTACATCAACACACACACAATAGTAACAATCTCTGTTTTGTCAAATAATTAGGAAAACAAATTTAATAAAAATTATGGTTATAATAGGTCTTTACCTATGAAATTGCCGTTTTGTATGCAATAAGTGAAAGTACTTAATTTCTGTTATTCGAAGTAATCACCCATGCAATCGACGCATCTTTGCCAACACATTGGCACTTTATTGATGCCCTTCTTGTAAAAATCAGCTGGACGGGAGGCAACAAACTCTTCAAAGGCATTTTGTACTGCCTCTCGGGAATTGAATTTTTTACCCACTAAAAAGTTGTCTAAATTTTGGAAAAAGTAATAGTCGGTAGGTGCAATGCGTTGGCAAAGATGCGTCGATTGCATGGGTGATTACTTCGAATAACAGAAATAATAAAGTTTGAAAAAATAAGTACTTTCACTTATTGCATACAAAACGGCAATTTCATAGGTAAAGACCTAATACTAACTCTGTGATATGAATGTGCCGATCTACAACCAGCTGTTTCCAAGTTTGAGCCTTATGAGAAGAAAGGGCAAACAAACTCATGGCCACTCTTTTGCAATTTACAGATAAATACAAAGGCATCATTAAATATTCCACAACATTGTTCCGATGTGAGCCAGTATGTCCGTTATTTAGGCAAAAAGGTAAAAAGACAATAAAGAGAAAAATAAGATTAGGAACGAAAGAAGAAAAGATAAAAAAAAGAGAAAGTGAAGTGAAACATAAAAAAAAATAAACACCCACATCACATTTCCACTTAAAAAATAGCCTGCACTAAATTATTCCTAAGCATTTTTGTCTTCTATGTAATTCACAATTGAGTAATAGGCTTTTTAATAGTAATAGGCTTTCTAACATATTTTGTTTGTTTCTTGTTTGCAGTACAAAAATAGTTTAAATGTTGTCAGTATTCCCCCAAAGTAGAATACCGTACCACAATATGCTATGAAAGCAACTAAAGCAGACGAGTCGTGCTGTATCAACATCAGTCAACTCTTGAATTTTTCTTACTGCGTATGCTGCAGAGCTGAGCCTACTCGATAATTTATCAATATGTGGCAGTGAGGCACTGTAGCTTAGAATTAAGTATTATACCTAAAAATGTCGTAGTATCCACAAGGTCCAACTCGACATCCCTAATCATCACAGTAGTTTTTACTTCGTTTTTTGTTCATTTAAAAGCAAATTGTTGACGTCGAACCAATGAACCACTTTCGAGTTTACGTTTGTGAAATTAGTAAGTGTCCGTTTTATTCTAAATAGTAGTGATGTATCATCAGTTGTCCTTGACAAGGTGAGGTAAGTCGTTAATATATACCAAAAACAGAAAAGGTCCGAGAATAGAACCTTGTGGAACGCCCATTTTTGGCACAGAGTCTGGAGACCGCTAACCATTAATATCAACTTTTTGAATCTTATTATCCAGATATGAAGCAAGAAGTTCCAATGTTTTTTTTTATACCATAGTGCTGTAATTTCCTGATTAGCGTTTCATGAACAACACAATCAAAAGCTTTATTTAGGTAAATCGCAAAAGATACCTAAAGGATCGTGGGCATCTTCCCAGGCTTAAATATATGTTTTACTAGCTCTTAACTGGCATCAGTTGTGGAGCGACCCCTTGTAAAACCAAATTGTCTACTGTGTAATAAATTATTATTATTAAAAAACTTTGTGATCGTACATAAGTTTTTCAAAATTTTTGCTAAATACTGGTAGTACTGAGATAGGTCTAAAGTTAGTTGGGTCAGATGTACTATCAGATTTGAATAAGGGATTAATTTTACTAGCCTTCAAAAGATCAAGAAATACTCAAAATTCTCATCAAAAGCATACCTACTGCCGTTATTAAACAACGATTGACTTGTCTCCTATGTTGGTCCCACAAAGATAATATATAGGTGTCATCATCGCAGTGAATACGCAGGTATACATATAAAATATAATAACATAACGCTCTTGACCTGGAACACATGATTACTAATTACGAGTAGTTCTAGTAAAGGCGAGTTGAAGTTATTAAGAAGGAATCGCTGAGAAAAAGGTTAGTTAAAAATCTTCGTCTAATATAACATTTCAGTTTCATATCTGCTCAATCGTGGAACTGACATTTTAGACCTTAAATCAAACATCTTTTTACTAGCAAAATGTCTACTTTGTTCAAAAAGGCTTTGTGTATCACTACTTAAGAATTAAATTCCCAGTTGAAATTGCACGACTGCGAAAAAGTAGCAATCGGTAGTCTCTACTTCTAGCAAGTATGGAGGATTACGTACGGCTTGAAACTGCAGATTTGGGCCTCAAT